AAGATCGGCAACCCGAACAGAGCCAAAGCGGGAAGGTAGAGCAGCATTGAGCGCACTCCTTGGCGCTGGTAAAGTTGACGATGGCAAGCGAGGACCACGGCAAGTGCACAAAGTCGTAGGGCCGGTCATAGCCTCAGACACGACAGCCACGGAAGGGCTGGCACGCCTTTGCGCCTTTGGTTGTGGCCTCGTTTTTTTTTTCTTTTTTTTTTTTTTTTTTTTTTTCCGCAAGGAAAGCAGTAAACCAAACCAAACAAACGCGGTGCCTGTTGCCGACTCTGTTAGGGAAAACCCCCCTTAAGACAAAAAAAGCAAGCGTGGAACGTGAAAGAGTGGAGCACTGGGCGTCTGGGTAGCCATACCCAAGCAATGCGTGGAACTCGCCGCGAAATTCGGAGGGCGACATCTTCCGGTTGAGCTTGAACATCAAAGCAGTAGAAAACGCGGGCAGCTCCTCTACATCAGTGGAAGACGCCATGTGGACCAAGTGCTGCTTCTTCACAGCAAGGGACATGTGAGACTTAAATGCTGCGGTCATGGGATGCATGCAAACACATATCTTCCATTTGCTGAATGGCATATGGATTCCCTTTAAATCCAACAGGGGGAAATACACAACTACTCTTAGGCAAATGGAGGATATCATGCCTTCCGCAAAACACAGCCGGACCTGAATGCAACCACCCAAACTTGCACCAGCTACACTTCCATGTGCTTTTTCGCTGCCTGGGAAGAAAGTGGACATATATCCATTAGTGAATTCGATTCCCTTTAAAACCAGAGAAACAATGGCATATAAATGGAAGTCAAGGGCCCTCCCCCAACCCGGAAAATGCCTTTGATCCATGGATTTTCCCCAAGCAAGCTTTCTGGATGCCCAAGTAAGTTCTAGCACATCTCTACTCTTGGTATGGTGGCGAAAAACTTTGTTTTTTGCAGACCCCCAGTAAAAATGACAGAACCAAAAAAACAAAAAACTCAAAAACCTGCCAAGAACAGTGAAGAGCATTCTCGGAGGCGTTCCTAAACTGTTGGCTTTGGATCTCCCAACAGGGCCGAGCTTCTCGGACTGTTGACCAAGCCTGGAATTGCGTGGACTTTCTGACTTGCCCTTCTTCGCTCCGGCTGTGACGGACTTGCCCCGGAAAACCTGGAAATGAAAAATTACGAACAAACAAAAGCATGAAACAAAACCAGGTGATCGCCTTTTGGGTTGACGAAAAGTGGTCGCCAACACTTGGTTGCTGCAACGGCCCCTCTGCAAGAGAAGTGGAGAACTGTTTCTGGGTGCAGATCCAAAGATCCGCTACGAAATATCACCGAACAGCCCAGAAAAGAACACATTCCGGTCAGATCCCTTTGGTTTCGCTCAAGCTTTGCTTTCGAAGCTCCAAAAAATCAAAAGTTGATGTCATCCGGATTCCTTCGCTCTCAAGCTGGCTGTCCAGTCCAAGAACTGGAACCCCATCGAACAATCCGCTGGAACCTACCCAGTTGACCCCACAGACTGCATGGACTATCCGAACAATTTGCCTGAAGCTGGCTCAACCTTTCAAATGCAACAACTCTTGCATTTGGTGCATGGCATGTGTCTCACCTCAGGAAGTATATGCTTCATAAGTTGATCGCTTTGGCTACCCTTGAAACCTCCGTTTGGGGGTTCCTGTCCTCCTTTTTTCGCGGTGCGCCCGTGCATATTCGGCTCGGGGACGCTACTACCCCCCCCCCCAACACCAAGGTTTGCAGGTTCATAAAATATTGCAGCTCAAAATTTCAGTGAGGGGACCGAAACTTTTAGTCTACTTGTCCATTCCCAGCCAATCCATGTAGGTAATGTATACAAACATTGGGTAAAATGGGCCCAAACAGTGTGGCTTGCCAGCCACCAAACTTAAAAATGAACAGAACCACAAAAAAAAGGAAACAAAGCTTGCCAAGGTGAAGAACCTATGCCCGTGTATTTGGGTGTGTTGCCTGCATATCTGCAAAAAGCACAACGCACTGTCTTTCGCAATTCGAGCGCTCTCGAATGGGAAGAAAAGGGTCCCTGGCCAAATTTCTTCAACGAGCCTTTAGGCTATGCATGGAAAAGCCGAAAAGGAACCGGATCGAGCCATATTGTTGACGCCCCCAAGGCCTGAACTCACTTCAGATGGAGTGTTCAAAAAAAAAAAAAGGAGCTCCAAGGCCCACACCAATTCTCCAAACCCGTGGTAAGACCAGAGGCCACCATTGCTAATGTTTACCATTGTAATCATGACTATGTTTTGGAGGTATCCCATAGTACCCCACATTACGAGGGCTTTGATCCCAAATGAAATGGGGGTCTTGGGATGTTTCTAGGGGCTGATCGTGACTAAGAGTCCACAAAGGACCGCAGGCCCGTTTCGGGGTGGATGGGTCCCCGATTGATTCGCGCGCGTCGCGCATCGAGTCGGTCGAGTGCGCTCATCCCCAGAAGGCTCGGAAGCGCCGGGGGTTCTTCAGAAGCGGCCAGGGCACCTCAGAAGTTCTCAGGGCCACTCCCCGAGCTTCGGAACCGGGACCCATCGCGGGTGCGGCAAACAGAAATTCAAGGGGATTTACAGGGAATTCTACAGGAAACGGCCCCAAAACGCCCTCAAGACGCTATTCTCCTCTAGAGTTTCTCGTAAAGCAACCCTTTGAGAAACAAAGCAAAGGGTTACCCTCCTTCCCACTAACAGAAGGCAACTGTGGGAGGGAAAATCAATTTCCTTTTGAGCCAAATGTAAAATGCCATGTTAGTGGGAGGGAGGGTAGCCGTTTGGTCCCCCGGCCACTAAAAAGGTGGAAAGCGCCACGTGGAAAGCAACGCGAAGGCGCCAGTGAAAAAGCCGATCCAACGGTGGATATTACCCGAGCCTAAGATCCGGCCTCATGAACATCTCAGCAAGCTCAAGAATCGCCCGAAACCAGCCCTAAGCAACTCTCAACTGCCAACAAAGGCCAGGCAGCCCTAGCTCGGAGGCCTGCGGCCAACCAACCAGCCAGCCAGCCAACCAACCAGCCACCCGACTGGGGTTAAGTCAGTAACTTAATACACAACACAAGTTCCCTAACATGGTTGCCAACAGAACCGAAAAGGTGAAAAGGTGGCAAAATAAATGAAATGTGAATGATGGATTTAATGGATTCGGAGGGTCCCCCTAGGCTTCCCTTCACCCTTCCAAACGGCTACCCTCAAATGCGGACAGACCCACCTGTTTCCAAACCCTCGGACAAATAGAGTTCAGGTTCTCAACAGTACTTCCCTGGTGCACGGGGCTTTTAGAAATTGGCGGTTGCCAGTTTCAGGCGCCCAACATTTTCCTATGTGCAAAAAGACAAGCCTTGGTAGCTGCAAATGGGCTGTCTTTTCAGGGGACCCCCCTGAAAAATAAAAGCTAGACAAAAATAAGTATCGTGGCTTTTCTCTTAGTTTCACGTAACCATGGGAAGTCTCTCGGTTGCAAACAAACATGGGCCCACAAACACGCCCCCCACCACACCCCCTTGGGAAAGAGTAAGAAAGACAAGGTGTGTTTGGGGGGGGTGGTGCGGTTTGGGGTCCAAACGGAAAAAGTTCTATGAATCTTGGGGGGACCTTTTCAGGCGCCTTGATGCGAAGTAAAACTGTAGGATCGGCAGCCTCCCAGCTGGACTGGCTCCCAATAGCATTTTGGGGGAGGAGGAGAGGTTGCGTTGGTTCGCTTCCGGGTCCCGAACCAAGCCAACGACAGGTAGGTTGACGCGCCAAAAATGCGAGCTGACAGATGCTAGTACCTTTTCCCCAAGAGCGGTTTGTCCAGTCCAGCACAACGTGACTTTGTTTCATGAAATTACGCGCAAAACACCAAGACAAACTCAATGCAGGACCGAGAGGTTTGACTCACTTGAGTGAGGTGCCCCTCAAAAATGGATCGAACTAATCTTTGCCACTTAAATGGTGTGTTTTAACCTTTTAACCAAAGAACATAGCGTCCATGATCTTTGGAAGGTTTACTCGTGGCCTCCATTGTACAACCTCAAGGGGGGAAACCTCCAAGACAAAACCCCTTTAGGATTGAAAGTTAGCATTTGAAGAAACCTCAAAACTGGTTCCCCAACCCCACAGCCAATAATGGGAGGAAACCTCCTAACAAACCAACCCTAAACACAACAATTGCTTGGAAAAAGTGTCCAGGATTAGGGGGAACCCTTGAACAAGCTACGCTAACGACCATACGGGTCAAACAAACAACATGTTTAAAACGCACCGACCAACCAGCCGACCGACCAGCCGACCGACCCAACCGACCAACCAACCGACCAACCAACCAGCCGACCGACCCGACCGACCGACCCACCAGCCGACCAACCAGCCGACCAACCAGCCGACCAACCAACCAACCAACCAACCAACCAACCAACCAACCAGCCGACCGACCGACCGACCAACCAACCAACCAGCCAACCAACCAACAAGCCGATCAACCGACCAACAAACCAAGCAACCAAGCAACCAAGCAACCAAGCAACCAAGCAACCAAGCAACCAACCGACCGATCGACCGACCGACCGACCCGCCGACCAGCCGACCAGCCGACCAACCAACCAACCAACCGACCAAGCAACCAAGCGACCAAGCGACCAAGCGACCAAGCGACCAAGCGACCGACCGAGCGACCAAGCGACCAAGCGACCAACCGACCAACCGACCCACCGACCGACCGACCGACCGACGAACCCACCAACCAACCAACCAATCCACCCACCAACCAACCAATGCACCCACCAACCACCCACCCACCCACCCACCCCCCCACCCACCCACCCACCCACCCACCCACCCACCCACCCACCCACCCACCCACCCACCCACCCACCCACCCACCCACCAACCAACCAACCAACCAACCAACCAACCAACCAACCAACCCTTCTTTTGCAGCGATTTCACTCAAACCCCCATGTTTCTCGGATTTTCCCTCCGCTTTTGGTGCCGTGCGCCTGGCAACGCATCAGCTGGTCCATCGAGATGTTCTTGGGCAAGGGCCGGCTGCGGTTCCTCGGTCCCCAAACCGAGAAGGGACTCGCGGATCCACGCGGATCAGTTGACCCAGACATCAAGTGCTCACTTCCGATCGAGTGGACTTGGTAAAGCAAGTCGAGTTCTCTTTTTGTAAAACCAAAAAGGTCTTTCCGAAGAACGTAAGAACACCGAAACTTGCTGATTTTTGAGTTTTCCACTGAGAGTCCATGAACTCAGGAAGTGAGAATGTGATCACCAAGTTTGGGGCCACACAACATGCACCAAGTCCAAAGCGTTCATTAGGAGAAACGAAGAGCGGCACCCGTTTTGCTAGTTGACTCTCATAGGCAGACTCTCTCGCCAAAAAAAAAGGCAAAAAGGCAAAAGGGAATTGCCATCCAGGGGTCATGGAATGGCTGTCTGGACCATCTCAGCTTTAAACCCCCTGACAGTAAGGGACCCTGACAGTAAGGGCTTTTTGTGACCTTTTGACTCCAGGTATTTTTAGGGGACTCACCAAAAAGGTGAGTTTTCCTTTGGTTTCCGTTTAAAACCTGAAGCCGAACAAGGTACTTGGATCAGAAATACGGGCTTCCAAAGAAAGCCGCGGAACTGTCTTGGCCGCCATTTTTCCCCGAAAAAGAAGTCCGAGTTCCATGGCCGAGTCGAGCAGACCGCTCTAGTCCCCAACCGAAACTGAAAGGAAGGCTCGTCGGTCAAAGGGCTGTCTCTATGCCAAAACAAGTCCTTAACCCAAGAACTGGCTTGGACGGTTTTAATGGTCACACCCCTCACTTCCTAAGCGGGCTGGATAAAGACAGGTCCATTTTTCTTTTGGAAAGCACATGCACCCCGTGGTGATAGTACCCGTTGTTCACCTTCGCTGAGGGTGAAACCAAGAGAAACGTCACAATTGTTGGGTGGCCTTGCTATATTGGATTTATACAAAGGTCACCTCTTACCAGGCATCTTAAAGTAAATCACGGGGTTTCACTCACTCACTCACTCACCTCACCTCACCTCACCTCACCTCACCTCACCTCACCTCACCTCACCTCACCTCACCTCACCTCACCTCACCTCACTCACTCACTCCGGAACTTACAAAACTTCGACGGTGCAACTTGAACATCTTGAAAGCAGAATCATTAGTCAGATAATACCAGTAAACTTTTGCAAATTGCAATAATTAACAGTGGGTGGGGTTGCAAACCCCCGGCACGTCACGTCGCTATAATTTGCCCATATCAAACTCATTTGGAGAACTTCTCAAAATGGAGCCGCTCTATGTACGCATGTCTCACATGCTGGGGATCTGGAGGGAGGGGTGAGGGTTATATAAGATTTGTTCCCAAGATGCAGGGTTAGCCTGGGCCCTGGCAACATCCAACACAAATAAAAAACAATGTTACATATAATTGATCTGCTTTTGACGAAGCTAGAATGGTTTGTTTCTAAGGGGCCTCCACCATCTGAAAAAAACAAGCACAAGCCAACCTGTGCACGTCGTGGATTTGTCTAGAACTGCAGCCTTTCCTTCGAGGGAGAGGGGGGAGTTGCGGGGAGACAGGGCTGGACTAAGGCTCATCCACCAGCGCAGGATCGACACGGGGTCATCTCCTTAGCTCTGATGGCCAGTGCTACTGTGGCTCATTCACAAATATCTCTTGGTTGACGTTGGGAGGGGAGCAAAAATGTTTTTTTTAGCAGTTTAGTGGGGATTTCAACCACCAAACCACAACAAGCCAAAAACAAAAAAAACTTGCTTCCCAACAACAACCATGATCTGGGCAAATTACGAGAATTATAGGGGATGATTCCTTTTCCATTATTTGTAACCATCGTTCTTTCAAAAACCGGCTGTTTTCCGCGGGGTTTTGGTGGTTTTCTAGAAAGAAGGATCCCTGGAAAGAATGGGGAAGCTACCCTTAGAATAATTCGTGGATCAACATTGAACCACCAGGCAGGGACCCTTTTCGGTTTCCGTCCATATTTCCATTTGCCAGGAATGCATGTTAGGTACCGATTTTTGACAACAACAGCCAAATTGAAGAAAGGAATCCTTTCATGGTATGGCCCTAAGGCGAGCTCAGTATTCAGCCAAACGATATGGCTGTGGGTCAAAACAACCCCTGGTGAACATCCAAATAGGTGGTACATGGGTGTTCATCCGCCCCAAAATTGGATCGGCATAGGTTATGACCCATGGCCATATTGCAAAGCATCAGGCAAACCAAACATGCGAAGCCTAGTTGCAAGCAGCAACTTCCATGCGCGACTTCCGCTCAAAAAGAGAAACTGTCACATCCCTTGTTAAATAGAGATCGATCCTCCTTAAAACTAACCGGGGAGACACTGTAAACATGTCCGTTTTCGATTGAAGACAAACCTGGTAGCGGAAGTGAACTGGTTTCTCGGGGTTGATCATTTGCAGCGAGGGATTCCCCACGAAATATATATATATATATATATGTATATAAAATCCGCCCGCGCCTTTCGGCCGAGAAAACTTTGGCTTTCGGCCCGCGGCTTTCGGCCCGGCGGCGGAGCCGCGCCACAAGGCCCGAGACCTGCGAAGGCGACCCCGCGAGGTCGCAGAAGTTGTACCTCCGCCGAGCGGCGGCGGGGCGAGGCCGGGCTTTTTGGCTATCCCCTTAAAACTCCAAGCCCTGGGGAAGTTCTCATGTTTTACAGACATATAGCCCATGTTACCCAAAAAGTTGAGAAAAGTTGTGTTTTTAAGAGGTAAGTTGGTTTGGTCCGATGGCGGTTTGGTCCTCCAGATTTGAGAGGTTGGAAGAAGGTACCAACCGTGTTTTTTCCTTTTTCTGTAGTCTATGTTCATAGGGGAAGCATGGTTCAGGCGAGGATTGTCTAGAAGATATTGGCTCTGCTCTGGTGGTAGTCATTGATGCTTTCAGCATGTTTGAGCCATGTGTATTGGCTCTGCTTTCAATGTTCAAGAAAAAATATGGGCGCTGAAGCGACCTGGTTGAGTAGGACTAGGTTGGAGTAGTGATGGATTCCCTTTGACTCATAGTGGGTCAAATGGAAACCCCCACTAAACACTAAAAGTCTAAAAAGCTAAGGAACCGGATGGCTGGGAGCCATCAAGTAGTGTGGGACCTGCTTTTATCCAGAAGAAACCCATGCAGCCGTCTGAAATTTTGGCCATGCTACCGCTCCAGCGGCAGGCTCAGGCTGCCGCCCTCGCCGTGCCTAAGTCGTGCCACCGGGCTGGAGCCGGTTTCAACGCATGGGAAACCAGGAGCCCGGTGGTTCCCCTCAACACCCAAGGGGAACTCAACTTAAATGGTTCAAGGTTTCAAACTACCAAGAAGGGAAATATATAGCTGGGGTGACAAAGTAATAGGTTAAGATTCTGTTTCATATTTAGCGACCTCGAAAAATCCAGTAGTTTCGGAGGACACCCACAACTACTCCTCTGAGTGAGACTCCGCTGCATTCAAGTCAGAGACTACATGAGGCGATGAGGCTAAATGTGGCCATGCAATCTTGTACTTTGCATTTCCGTGGCCCACAGCCTTGCAATGACTTCTTGGCTTGATCATTTCATTTGGCAAGCCTTTCTCAAAACAACTTGACAAAGGGAACCCTTGAAGCAAGGAAGCCCAACACTTCAAGCCCTAGCTCATTGAAAACCAAGGCTGACGCCCTACATATTGCACGGGTCCCGAGCCAAGAGAACACCCCATTGCAACTTACCGGATCGGATCCGTTGGCTAGATGTGGCTTGCCAAATGTTACAGGGCTCCACTCATTGCTGAACAGGGCTGTGGGAAATGGAACCCACTTCTGTGATACAAGACAAAGGTCTCCCAAAGACTAAATTGTTCATAGAAAGGGGGAGTCCCTTGTCTCGCAGAAGTGGGGATAAACCCCTTGATCCCACAACCCTGCTCCTGAAACATCACCCCACCACGAAGAAGAAACTCATCAACAAAAAGGCAACCAAAAGGTTTGATCGACTAACACCGCCCAAATGGGGAACTTATGGGTGTGAAGCTCTTTGGAGGGTACCCTTTTTTGTGGTTTCCAAAGGAAAGCCAAGAGAAACACCGAACACTTGTTGTGGTTTGTCAAGCAAAGCCAACAGGAATGCATTCTCAAAAAAACAAGAACGCACGCACGCATTCACCGGGAGCCCGCCCATTGCGCACCGCTTTTCGCCGATGTTTCCCACTCGCAGCTGCGCGAGAGGTCAGCCGAGGAGCGAAAGGCCCTTCCAGAAGATCGCGGCGGCGGTGCCAAAGTGCGAGAAGTGGGTGGCGCCTCGTTTTTCGCAATCATCGCACGGGGGTCATGAGATCCCCCCTGCTGTAGGGGGAGCGGGGTGGGGGGGCCCCCAATTCCATTGATCCAGTCTTCCCAAGAAAAAGGGAAAATGGGTTGCCAGAAATGGATTTCCAGGGGGTCGACATCCTCCCTCCCCCAATTCCATTTTTAAGAAGGTGGGGATGTCATGAGTTTCTTGCTGGTGCTCAGGGAATGAACTTGGGATTCCCTGAAAGGAAGGCAGGCATATCTGGGCTGGTTTATAGGGGTCATTCCCTCATTCCTTGCTGAGCACCAGCATGTGTTGTCAGTTACCCTTATGGTCATGAGTTTGACGGTGTCCAGGGCCCAGTCAATCCCAGGCAAACCCGTAAAGAAGGATAGCTATTGGTTGACGGGTTTCTACAATTTATCAAAGTTGGGGCTATTAGAGTCGGCAATTAAAGTCAGAAGCTGGGGTGCCACCTAGACAGGGTGACTTTGATCGGGGCTAGATTAGGGAGACCCCATTTGGGGGGTGGTCCGGAAGGTTCCCTAAGGCTGCAAAAGGTTCCCTCACCCTGAGGAACCTTAGGGAACCCGAAACTGGCTCACAGCTAACCGCCCCGTTTGGCATTACCAGCAGGATCCATCCGGCATAAGGACAAAGGGATGGTCTTGGACAACTCACTCAGTCCACTCTTCGGTGATTTGTGCTTTTCACCAGGCACAAACACGAGGAAGAATTCGAGAGCTCCAAAACTGAAAACCGGGGAACAAACAGTCAGTGCAACACCCTGGTCAATCACAAAGCAGCATGGGACGCAGCGCGCTCGGGGAGACAGAGCTACTCAGTGCAAACCATGCCAAATCCCAATACGACACAACACGTCCAACATGTTTTTGTTTAAGCAAAAACATGCTCAGCTGTCACCTGTTTGTTTCGTTCAGAAAGAACTTCCCAATCCGACCCAATGAGTCAGGGTACCTTAAGCGCAAAAGCAAAAAACATACAAAAACAAGTCCAACCGAAAGTCAAATATAAGTTCATCTGCCGGGGACAGCGAAAAGGAGGCTTCGGCAACCATAGGCTATGGGTGGCAGCTCAGACCCGGGGACACCGAAGGGATCGCTTGCATGGCGTCTGGCGCTTTTGCACTTTGAGTAGGTTCCTCGAACGATCTCCAACTCAGTTGCCCAAAGGAGAGGAAATTCAAAGGTCACCTTTTGGCGCCATGGCCGAAACAGGGACCAAACAAAGAAACTCACTTCCTGAGGGTGGCCAACAAAACTCCAAACTGTTTGCTTAATTACAACTAACATGGTCTCAATCATGTCCAACAAGTAAAAAGTCTAGAAATTCGGGAAGTAAGGAAACTAATCGGTCAGCTCGGGTCGATTCGCCCCTGGGCCTCAGTGAGCCATAAAGTCCCATCCCTTTTGGTTTTCGAGTGGGGCACAACTAGGATGCAATGCCACCCGCCCCCGTGCTGGTGTTCAATTACCCTGCCCTCAAAGGAGACCCAGAAATAAACTGTGTTGGGCCATAACTAACATGGACTCGGGGGGAAACCAAAAGTGGTCGTCTTTTTCTTCCCAGGATGAACTGAATGGAGTAAGGAGCCTTAGGTTCCTAACCAAATGCCGGGTCAGATCAGGTCGATTCACTGAGAATGAAACTGAGAATGGCCAGGTGTCTGTACTGACTTTCCGTTCCCGGGTTCCTGTGGCAATTCCACGAGGTGAATTGCCTTTTGACCTGACAGTGCGGGAATGAAATAAGAGTTGGAGATCCAACCAGGTCCAGGACCTGGATTTGGGTTTTGATTTGTCCTAGCGGACCTTCAAATGGTTTCCGATTTTGCGAATGTACGGTTTCCCTTTCAAACCACCGAGAAATGGGGGGGGTGACACCCCTGATGAAATATTCAACCAGGGGTTTATTCGATTCCGCTCCTTGTTCACTCCTTTTTCACGAGCTCACCGGTCGGTAAAACGAGCGATCCCACCCTTGATGAAGGTCGTTACTTGAGATCCTGTAGTTCGAGTGGGCGTATCATTGTTTGGAGCTCCCCATTTACATCTAGGTTCATCATTACCTGGTCGTTGTTTCGAAAAAGCATGCCAGAGTTGTCCTGCACATCTTTTTCGGACTCTCGGACTTCCAAACCCGGACCCCCAAGCTTGGCTGGAAAAATCGGACCACGGCAAACCATGAGATCATTTTTGGCCTGGTGAGTGGAAAACAAAAAGGACACCCCCAAAAAAAGCACACACAAAAAAGGCAAAAAGGGGAGCTCAGTCTGGTGAAGCCAGGTGAACCCCTGCGGCTTCCGTCTTTCCCCTTCGATTCGCTGGCCTCCCATCAGGTCCGCCTTGGCCCGCATACGCAAGCTCACCTCACACGCAAGCAGCTAAGAAGAGATCTTGCGGGTGTGAAAACGGGTGCCCGATTTTTTTTCGGGCAGATGGAAGGAGAAAAACGGAACCCCCTCAGTTGAAAACACACCCATATGCAGGGATCCTTACATTATATACACCTGAACATTGCCTTGGAAATGGTGGTGTCCCTTTATTTTGGTGAAACATGCCATGTTTCAAATTGGCAAAATGTATCTTTTAAGGAGCCCTGATATGGGTGTGCCTCAAAATCAAACACCTAGGGGTTTACGCAGGTTTTAGTCTTCGGTTCCATTTGCCAAGACTTGGCAAATGGAACCGAAGACTAAAACCTGCGTAAAACCCTAGGTGTAAGTGGCCATTTTGGTACACGCTAAACCACACCCATTTTTGAGTCATAATTCAAACCTGGTATTAAAATGGTGCACCCAGAAACATGTAAAGAACTAAGAAGGCGGCCGCAGCTATTTATGGTTGGGATTGTCCCTTACTAACCTTCATCTACCCGGGTTTTGATTGTGGCTCATTTGGGATGACCTGTTGAATGGGATCCGTTGACAATGTCTTTCAGGATGCGACATGCGCACTTCGGGCCCCATGAGCGCGCAAGGTCCCAGTTGGCCCTGAGTTGACCCAGTGATGTTAGCCCCGGATTCATAAACCCCTGGTTGATTCATAGGGGGTGTCCCCTTTTAGTGGGGATTCCTCACTTTTGGAGGGAACACCCCCCTAATAATGGGACGGGTTTATTAATCCTGGGTCAACATTGATAAAATGATCACCTTTGGGGAGAGAAAACCAGAAGCTCAAAAGCTTGCAAGGCAGTACTGCTTGGATTGGTATATATTCATACCTGTATCACTGCATCACCCCTTTACTTAAAGTCCCCATCATAATAGTGACGAAGGGGCACTAGTTTTTGGTGACTTGATTACAGGCAAACCCCTAAAAAGAGGATGCGCCACTGGTCTGTACCTGTCGAAGCCCACAGCATGTCCCACCGGTTCCTTCCGTGCATGTACCCCAGCGCTCCAGCAAACGGAAGGTCGTGTGTTAATGGCATCCACGTGATGCGCCCGAATCGCCCGAACAGGAAGAAGGGAACCATATCAAAGGAATGCCAGGGGCGTCTGGGGGCGTGAGCAAGCTTTTGTGAGTTTGTCGCTTGGGCTACAACCTGTGTTAAACTAGCGGTATTTGAAATCAAACAAAAACAACAACTTTGGAATACTAAATGACAGCCTTGTTGCATATCATGTTACGCAACCGGTTTGATCAAAGGATGGCGTACCCCAATGGCTCCAAATGTTATAAACCACCCAGTGGATCCCAGTTGCCAATGGTAAGTAACGCTTCGTCATTGTCCTCCTGACTTTTATATCCGGCAGTTTCCTGGGTTGCCTACAAAACGTGGGGTAAATGTTAAAATGGAATCACTCCTAGAAAACTGGTTGGACGCGATGTTTGGGCCCCTCTTTTGACTTCCTGGCCGGGTCCCAGCGAATTTCCATATTTGGCTTTGTAGTAGGGCGCCCACCCCGTGCAAAAAAAAAGAAATCGGACAACAGGTCACGCTGGCCACGAAACTGCGCAAATTCCAATCAGGTGTGTGGTTTTCTTTGGGCTTCCTTTTAGACCACCAAAACTGGGAATTTGGACCCTCAACATTCCCTTGAGGCAAATTCCTTTTGGGTAGTTTGAGGGTCCAGGTAGCTGCTTTGCAGCCACGTTGGTTCTCAGAGGGGAAACATAAGGAACTGCAAGAGTCATTCCCCATTCTGTACGCTGAAAAACAAATTGGCTATTGCCGGTCAACTGGAAAGCCACCCACCCTCCACCCATTAAGAACAACCACAAACTCCAGTTGAACCAGATGGCAAAACGCTAAGCAGATCCAAAAAAGTTCCAAACGCTAAAACCCTAAACCGCTAAACGCTAAGAGGATCTAACAAGATCTAGAACCGGATGGCTCTCGCCAGCAAGTTCTCCATGGAGAACGCCCAGCGGCATTGTGGCCTTGGGCCCAGCGGAAGGTGGTCACCACACCCTGCAGCCATGGGGACTGCATGCAGCTGGGCCCAGTCAGCGACGCCTCGAAAAAGGCGAAATCCGCAGGGATCCGGAGGCATGAAAATGCATGAAACCACCCGAACAGTGCAACTTGGTGGTTTCAACAACTTGATTTTGGTGTTCAAAAAGCCGAACCATGTTTCAAATGGGCGGGCAAACAAAAATGAATTTCTTTTAAGGAGCCCTGATCATTGGCCCTTCGGGGATGTTGGGGAACCGGGGGAACCGGGGGTTCCTGGTGAACGGAACCAAAGTAAACAACCCAAGACATTTCCCAAGTGAACAACCAAAGAAGTGCTCAGCTTCGCGTGTTTTTTTTCTTTCAAATTGCAAAACCAACCAGCGTACTTTCTTATACGGAAATATGCCAACGACCACTCGCTTGCCCCGGATGGGACCCAGAAATACAAGGTGATCACCTTTTGGGGCCACCAAAATGTGGACCAAAACAGGAACACCAACTGATCAACAGAACGGCTTTGAGCAACTGAGTATCTTTAGGGGACCCAAAATGAAGCTGGACCGTCCTTTTGGTTTCTCTTTAAAACCACCCCAAGACGAGTGTCCTCAAACACGACACACCCAAATGCCGCGGTGTTTGAAGCGTATATCTGAAGAAACCTGGTTGCTCACGGGAAAACCTCCTTTGTCACGGGTTGGCATCATGTCCCCCCCCTTCGCAAAACAAGACTTGGGGGCAATGTCAGCTCTTAAGAGCAACACAGCGACCATGTCTACCAGGGACATACAAAGGAAACTAAAAGGATGTTTGAAACAGTGGCTTGTATATGTCGTTTAGACAAGGGGTGGCCGAAGTCTGTCACTTGCCCAAAAGGCCCGGAAATAGAAGATCGGGGCCATGTATTTAAAATGGAACCCCAAAACGGGCAAACCGAAGCTCAAAAAGGATTCGCTTTGGACAACCTAGATAACAAGTACCATTGGATCCCTGGTCAACGTGAGGCATCGCCTCAATCTACAAAGGCTATCTTCATCCGTACACGGAGTTGTTCACACGTCAACATGCGTTCATTTCCCATTAACATCAACGCATCGAATGAGCACGGGACGAATCTCAAACAACAAGGTCTAGCGTCTCGCTTTTGGTTTCCTGCTCTCTGCGTGCAAGGGAGTAACTTTCAGGGGAAAGCCACTTGTTTCCAGCGGGTCTTGCGGGCGATTCGGTCTAAGGGTCACAAGGCCAGCCATGAGAAGCTGGCCCTAAGAACCAATGTTCGCGCTGAACAATTAGAACTACTATTTTTGGTACTCACTTGTAATCATGACTAGCTACGGTTTTTAAGACCCCCTGCCAAATATATGGCCCCTATAGCTACCTAGAGTCTCCTTCTGACCCTTTAAAAATGGTTGGTCATTACCCTAAATAATGGTTGGTCATGGACCTATTGCTAAAGAGTCATGGAGACGCCAGGCATACTCGAAATGCCAGGCCCCACCTAAGAAACCCGACGGAAGGATTCGATGCCCCTTACTAACAAACAATGGTTTCAACCATGGCTTCAAAGTGGCGCAGGATTTCGTCCATCCACTGTATGTCCAAAAGCTGAATCAAAAAAATCCCCACATCATCATAATAATAAAAAATAATAATACAAATAATACATTAATACTAATAAACTTTGTCATGGCTTTCGCTCGTTCTACCCCCGGATCCGTCGCCATAACATCGGCAGATGTCCACCGTGCCTGGCGCAGGCTCCGCGTCAAAGTGTGCTGCTGGATCTGGAAGACCTGCTTGCGGTCGCTGCGGATCTCGCAATGCTTCCTCGGCGCGGTTGCTTCAAGTCCCCTGGAAGAAAAACAACTCCAGTGATAGGTTCCACGTAAAACCAATGCCAGACCAATGCACAAATAAAAGTATTACACATAAGGTTCAACCTCCTTCCCCGGCCGGGAAAAAATGACCAAGGGACCAGTGGCATGGTCAAACCTCCGGACCTACGCGCCATGGCGGAAACCTTTCTGCCTGCTTGTCGTTCTGAAGCCTCCATGTGCTTAAGTCCCCTGGAGAAAAAAACAACAACAACATATTTCCAGGTGTGACATCGATTCCCTTCAAAACCAACTGGGGAAACTGAAACATCGTCTTAAGCAAATTGAAGGAAGGCTTCACCTCCCCGGAAGGAACTGAGGGCTACCACTCACAGGACCTTTCCTCGGCTTCAGTTGCTTCCACTAGAACCTCTGCTAGGAAACTTGAATAAAAACCACGGAAACCCAACTTGACCATGCCTTCTGCCCTCTGATCTCGCATAGTGAGAGCAAATGACGCCAGCTTTTCCCTGACCTGCGGGAAGCAATCGTATGACATGTGCTCCCAATACCTCAGTTGTCCCTTGCGGACCTGGATATAGAAGGTGATCAGCTTTTGGGACCTTTACCAAAAAACTACCAAGAGGACACTAAAAGGGTCGGCCTTCCCCCCTGCAGATTTGCATGGAATCCAAAATGCCGATCATTTCTGGCTCCCTGTGCATTTGCAGGCAAGCAGTGGTTGAACTTTTCCATATCTCTTTTATATCCCCAGAGCCGATTCTACTGGGGATACTGAGGCTGAATTAATGATGGCGAACCACATCTCCAACTGGGAATGCACCAAAAGGTGTGAGACAACTCTCTGACGCAGGGATGTTGCGTTGAAGGTCAAGCAGCAGGGTGTTTCTCATTTTGTCCCAAGTAATTGTGTGCCAATCTTAGGTGAGTTACCAAATGTATAAACCCATGTATGCATTCCTGCTATGAAGTGTCATGCCTGTCATGCCCAGTTGAAGCGTGCTTGCGGCTGTGAATGTCCGTACCTGAACCCTCAACTTCCCATCAACAATGGAATTCGCCCCATAATTCTAGGCAATAACCCATGTTTAGGGGAATGTTGAAGGTCCAGGTAGGCAACCACCGATACGCAAATTATGTCCTAGTGGGGCGGTTTAGCCTTGGTGAACCGTTTTGAACAGAGCTTGCGATCCCGAAGCTTTTTTTGCATCCCGAGATCGCCCAAACGTTCCATGACAGCTTCTATCAACGCACGTGCTGCGCAAAAGACACCAGTCAAGAATTTCGACATATTTCTCCCTATCATCCACACATATGTATACCCTGGAAATCCACGACTGTTTTTTTAAACGTCCTTTGCACCTCGCCTGTTTGTTGCAGCTAAAGCCTGTTTTTTGCGCCTGCAATGAGCCATGGCGTGGTATTTGATGCATTATTCATACTGTTGCCACGTTTAGATTCTACAAAGCCTGTTCCACCCCAATATGTCTTGACACAACAATTTTGGTGTGAAAATAGCGGTCCGTGATGTACGCAAAAGTAGCGTGAAATCACCGTGAAAATACCGTGAAATTGGCGTGAAAGCCTGTTTTCCAGCTTGAAAGCACGTTTTCTGCCGTGAATTTTGACACCGGTGAATCAATGTGTCTCAGCCTGTCCTTTGGTAATCCCTCCGCTTGTTTTGTGGGAACAGAGGTCAAGTCTTTGCACACTTTGGTCCTGAGCACGTGCGGCGCCCGAATTGTTCAATGATATCAGCTGAGCTTGGACAAAACTACTCGTGGCAAAAAACCGCCTTTCACAGAAAACATGCAAAATAAACCGCCTTTGGAACCCCAGGGTATATGTATATAATGCGCAATCCCCGTCCCCATATTCCTCTGGGCTATGTTTGGTAGTGGGCCTACCCCAAACCTATGATGCCAAGCAATTGCATCCAGTCAAACCTTGCTGCGAGCGTCAGGGTCTGTATGGTCTCCCTCGAGGGGATTTCGTCCAGGTCGGTAAAGACCACCTAAGGCATGAGGGGCAGCAACCGGAACAGCCAAAAAAGGGAAGCCTTCCAACGGCCCAACCATCTGGCAAAACGGTGCGGCAAAAATCACAGAAGTCCGAAGAATGGGAATTCAATCAACCTCTAGTCGATTCATAGTTCATAGAGGGTCATTCTTGCGGAAATCCTTCATTTGGTGGGAAGTGGACCCCTACAAGCGGCCTTTCAGATGCATGTTCGAAGAGGTTTGGCATGAGGAGACCGGATTCACTCCCAGATTTGAGTGTCTCATTTTGATCAGCCTGCGTCATTTTGTGGAAGGAGCCCTGGAATCACTCCCAATCAAGCTGCTTTCAGAGCAGGCCACGGACGCCCTGCAAAGCACCAACTGCTGAAGCTTCAGTGGCTTGGCCTTGGCCCTGTTTGGCCTCGAAGGCGTCTCAAAGAACAAGAGGGCTCCAAAACATGGCCCAACAGATCGCTGACCTGCACGACGGCTTCCCTTTTCATCGAAGAGGTGCAGCCAAAAATAGATGTTCGGTTCCCATTGGCGTGTCATTTTTTTAGGGGGGGGCCCTAAATGTGTGGGTGTCCTTTTGGTTTCCCGAGAAAAGCCCATCCAAGCTGAAGTGGCTTTCCCGAAGGGTGTCCTCCAAAAAAAACCCACCCGAGAAAAGGCAGCCTCCGCGATAGACCCTATGATAGGTCCATGCTGTTTGATTGTCGAGGAATTGCTGTCGACGGGAGGTTTCCGAGTCGGCATATTCTTTTGAACGCTGACAGGCCTGCTTCTGCTGCTTCTCAAAATCCGGGTCCCCAAAAATGGGTGGTTTCCTATTTGGTTTCATTTCAAATACCAGCCAAAAGGGGATCCACCATTTCAGAAACACCCGCAGGGCCGTCCGCTGAATATGATGAAAAGTTGGAAGGCCGTCCGAGAGGCCAAGGCGGAGTCTGGCAGGGAGAGGTTCCGCAGCGTCTTCCAGAGGCAGGCCCTTTGGGCATCTTGGATGTCCCAAAGGTTCTGGGCCTCACGAAACAAATCGCTGGCGAACATCGACAAGTTCTAGGGGTACCTTCCCCATTCTTTCCAGTGATCCTTCTTTCAAGAAAACCTCCGGAAACCCAGGGAAACGGCTGGTTGTTGGAAAGAACAATGGTTGAAAAGAATTGGAAATCAACCCTTGACAAGTAGGTCCTTATCTCAGGATTTGATGTGCCATGTGACTACGCGTTGTTAAATAAACAACTCCGGATTGTTGTGAAACATACCTGCCGCTTGCGAACATCGAACAGTAGCCTCTTATCTCAGGCTTGGATGTGTGGTGTTCAAGAAAGACTCTGGATGGTTGTGCAACATACGTACTGCATGCGAACATCGAAAAGTAGGCTCCCAGGCTTTGATGTGTGTTTAAACATGCATGTCTAGTAGTAAAAACAAATTCCCTTTAAAGCCAACAAGGGAACATAAAACAACACATAACAAGACATATTCGTACAGGAACCAAATGGAAGCTGGATGTCTCCAAACTGAAGAACTCCGACTGGCGCGACATGTCACCACCCCTTCTAGGGGGTGATAACGCCAAAGTGAGATTTCCATCTCCATGGCTACCTTGTCTTTCTCATCTTGCAGCCGATAGGGTTTCCCGCCTAAATCAAAGGCTGATTGTCTAGATCCATAAAAAGTCACTCATGGCCTTTTTGGAGGGCTGTTTTCTTCTCCCACAATGAAGCCATAACTAAGGGCGAATTACCCTATAAACTATAGGGATGCATACAGGGATCCTTACATTATACACCTGAACATTGCCTTAAGAATGGTGGTGTCCCTTTATTTGGGTGGAAAAAGCCATGTTTTAAATGGCAAAATGTATCTTTTAAGGAGCCCTGTTCATACTATGGGTGCATACATTCAGCCTTTGGCTCATTTTGCCCATCAACCTCCACCTTGGGATTATATGCCCACGTTCCCACAAATGCCGGTTTGGACAGTCGGGCCGCTCCCAAATCCCCTGCTAAAAGTTTAACTGTTTGTGGTTGAGTGGGAAACTACCCCCAAACCTTAAAACCCTTGAAAACCTTGGAAACTCTTGAAAACCTAAGAACCTTGAACATCCAAAAACCCAACAAATCGGATGGCTGAGAAAAGGTGCGCTCGCCTGGTTCCGCTTGCTTCGCACCAACTGCACCCGCTTGGCGAAGTGAGTGCAGTTGTCCAGGTCCAGGTAGAGCCTCGAACAACAGACGGGACATCCTCCCAGAAGAGGCTTTTGCCATCTTCGGCATGGCCGGAAACAAAGGGTGACCACCTTTTGGGGGGCCACTGATGAAAGGGGAAACTAAAAGGTGACCACCTTTGGGGGCTAATTGATATAAAGGGGGAAACTAAAACTAGGTCCTCCAGTTTTGAGAGGATAGAATAAGTTGGTACCGTTTCTTTTTTTCGGTTTTTGTCTATTTTAGCAGGGGAACCCTCCCCCCAAAAAATGTAAAAGGGCACTACTGGGCCTAGAAGGGGAAACTAGAAGCTAATTGTTCAAATCGATCGCTTTAGAATTTCATCGTTTTCGGTGAATGAACAAAACCCAGTGAAGGTTCCTCGTCTGGATAACATCCGAAAACCGCCCGCTTTGGAAGAGGATTCTTTCGGCTTAAAAGTTGGTTTGTTCATTGGCCCAACGCACCTGAACCCTCAAAGCATCTACATGGTCGCTTTGGGACTCATGCCCCCAGAACCCACTCTCAAGGGTAGGATGATACATTTCCCAGACTTTTGTGGATTTGGCGCATTGTGGATTTGGCTTTCTTTGGGCAGTCACATGCTTCTCCTTTAGCTAATGCACCCTCCGGTCCACTAACATGGAACCCATGTTTAAGGGTCCTTTTTGAAGGAACATTCTGGCTAGGCTGGAAGAAGAGGACCCCAGCAAAAAACACTTTTTGCCTGGTGAGCGGAAAGCAAAGGGGACCACCAAAAAGCAAGAAAAACATGGAAAAACAGGGGGGCTAATTCTGGGGAAGGTTTAAGGGTCCTTTTTGAAGGAACATTCTGGCCCAGAAGCCCTCAGTCAGGTTCCTCTTTTTTCTTTTGCAAAGGTCACCTGACACGCAAAGGGCTGGACCTACAGGGATCCGGATGCATTACATTATACACGGATCGAACATTGCCTTGCTTGTAAATGGTGCTGTTTCCATTTCTTTACTTTGGTGTTGAAAAAGCCAGCCATGTTTCAACTGGTTGCAAAACGAGTTTCTTTAGGAGCCCTGCTTAAACATGGGTTCTTGCCCCGCAGCGGGTTGAAGCCCAATGCCGGCTCCCCGCGGCCTGCTCGGCCAAACGGGAGCAAAGCACGTGTTTTTGTGGTTGGCTTTAAAAGGAACTCCCCTCAAAAAAGGATGAACAAAGGAATCACCCCACTGGTATGTGAAATTGGTACGTGAAAGGGACATTTATGGGATGGGCACCAACTGGCTGCTACTGCTGCTCTCTTTGCGATACCAAAGTTGAATCCCCTCGAGCGTTGTTACTTCAAAGTCGAACAGAGCAGGAAGCGCCAGGATGTGGCCGTAGCATCGCAAATCAAAATCCGGCCTCAATATAAGTCGCCCATCGGGAAAAAGTAGGGGAGCCAACCCAATTCTTCACCAACGTATCTGCCTCTGGACTCCACCCTGTAAAAACTCAAGACACGGTCATGATATGTGACTTGATGCGTCTTGCAAAATCCTCGAGCAAAATGTCGACCTCAGCTTTTGGCCCCCAAACAACAAAAAGACTCTGGACCACAACTGGTGAACCTTAAATAGTGAAATGTTTCAAAAGAGGTCCCAAATCTACCTGGACTCTCAAATTTTAGTTTAAAAATGCAATGCCCTAGAATCATTTGGTGAGTTCCCTTCTTTCTGGGTAGTTTGAGGCTTCAGGTACCTGAGGTCCAGAAGGCATACCTCAGAAAGAACCCATGGCCCCAAGCAAGCCCGCCGGAGCGGATTTGTTTTTTCGCCCCGAAGAAAGCCCAGGCCCGACCCTTGGGGAAAGAAAGTGAACCGCCAAAAGTGGGCGATGAGCTCAGTTGCCCGGGACCCAGGACTAGGTGATCACCTTTTGGCACCTCTAAAAATGGGATTCCCCAAAATGGGAAAAGGTCAAAAGGTCAGATCAAAAGGTCGATTCGCGCCTAGGACAACTGAGTGAGATGCTTACGGCTCCAAGAAAATGGAGCTCCGATCCTTTTTGCTCGCACCTGGCGGTTAATCAGGAGACAGAGACTTGCGGACTTGATGGGTCTCACCAAGATGGCACCTTGGCATATGGAAACAGATGGATTTAAGAAACAGAAACTGAGCAGTTTGCAAAAGCCGACTTTTGAGCCACACACAAAGATGAGGTCTGGCAATCGTCAGCCGAGGAATCGGTTTTTGGTGCCCGAAACTCCCTCGATTCAAGGCGCAAAGAGGCGATTCCTTGGAAGCGCTGCAGGTTCCGCCGCAGCAGTCGAGGCTTGCGGTCGCCCCTGAAGTTGTACCTATGCAAGCTGGATGGTTCCCAACTGAGGAAGACCACCGCGCCTTGCAAGGGAAGGGGGTTAAAAGTGGATGGTTTAAGCTTGGTTGACGTTGAAGGGGAGCAAACAATTAAATGTTAGCAATTAAGTGGTTGGATTTCAACCACTAAACCACAATAAGCAAAACTGTAAAATGTTTCCCAACGACAAACATGTAAGGGGGGTGGTGATGCAACATGGAACGTACAAGTCCCTTGTGGCCCCCGCCCATTTCCAGATCCACTCCAGCCAAGGAGCCCTGACTCCGCGGCCACCGTCAAATCCGCGACGCCTCGCACGGCGGGTCGGTGCTCGCTCGTCCCAAAAGGGGGATCTGATCATCTCTACTCTTGGTATGGTATATAGCAAAAAACTGACTGTTTTTGCAGACCCCCAGTAAAAATGAACAGAACCAAAAAACTAAAAAACTAAAAAACATGATCCAAGAACAGTGCAGTGATGCCCTGGTTGGGGGGCTTTGCTGCAACAATGGATTCCCCTTCTGCCAACCATGGCGCAAAATACCTCCTGCGATATTCCATGGCATTCCCAGGGTCAGATGCCAAGACAGTGGTGCTTTCTCGCAGAATCTTGAAAACCAATTCATGGGGCAGCAGTTACATTCCCTGCCAAAACACACATTGACATCTAGAGGAATCTTGCCTAGAAGTATTATAGTTTGGTCAACGTTCAATCCCTTCTTGGCCACCAAAACATAGCAAACCACTAGGGAAACCATCACTGGAGTTCATGGGAGCTCTGAAATTGACCGCACTTGGCTTAAGCAAATGCAAATCGGCCCAAACATCTGCCAAACTTCCAATGGGCATCCCATGATTTCTCGCCCCATGGAGCCCAAACAACTTGTTATTTGCTCACTTCCGGTCGAGTGGGCCAAACAAAGGTAATCAAACTGCTTGATTTGCCACCAACGTCGTCACCCCAAAAGTGACGAAAGTCCAGGAACAGAACTCAGGAAGTACGTTTCTGTAAGGACACCTCTTGTTTTTTGTTTTTTTTTGTGTGTGTGTGCGCTTGATCCAGGTTTGAGGTGGCCCGGTGGCCGGTTCGAAGTTTCAGTGACATCCTCTTTACGCGTGGGAGGGTTTTTCGGCGGCAATTCCATTGGTCCACCTGGACCCTCAAAATTCCAACAGAATACATGGGTTTGATGGTTTCCCCCTTCAGAGTGCAATTGCAATACCGCGGTTTGGTGGTTGCCCCCTCCGATGTGCCTCAGCTTTCCCGCAGTCCGGCCGGGTTTTCCCGTGTTTTGACGCGGTCTGCGCGTTTCTTACCTCGGCTGCTTTCTGCTCCCCTGCTAAAACGTTGACTTTCAGTGGTTTGATGGCAACCCCCCTAGTTGGCAAAAAGCTCAAGAACCCCCGCATCTCTTGGCAAAATGCACCAAACTTGGCTGGAAGAAGAGGACCCCAGCCAAACAATATCTGTTTTTGCCTGGTTAGTAGAAAACAAAAAGGGAACCCCTAAAAAAGCAAAAAACATGAAACAGGGGAGCTCATTCTGGTGAAGCTTCAAGTGGTTTCAACCTACTGGGCCCCGGCAACTTCGCGCCGCGTCGAATCGCTCGCCTTGGAGGTTGAGGAGCCGGAGCTCCAGCAAGTCCAGCTCCGGGCCACCGCCCATGCCTCTGGATGTTTCGGAGTTTTCTCTCGCCGAAAGGTCAAGAAATTCGGGCTCGACGGATTCGAACATGGGCTTCAACTTGGCAAGTGGTTCAAAAAAAAAACAAAACATCTAGACCAGTGGAACCCATCTTTTGTTTCTGAGCAAAGTAACCCAAGAAGGACACCTACTGTGGATGGCTCCGAAATCCACTTCGGCACCACCTAAGAAGCCACGGTTGACGCCATTGGTTGCTGGTATTTAGGGGAATCCTGTTTGCAGGGTTTCTCAAAACCCTGGAAGGATTCGATCCTCCTGGTAAATGCCAACAACCAATGGTGTCGAACCCTGAAAGGTTGATTGCCCTGGTAAATACAAACAACAAACAATGGGGTCAACCATCGTTTCTTAGGTGCTGCGAAATGGATTTCGGAACCATCCACAGTATGGGGAGCGAGGTGAGTTGGGGCAAGAAATGATGGTACAAGAGGTTTTCTTCCTTTTTCTCCAAGATTGTCCTCGAAGGGTTACCTGTTGTGGCAACTCGAATCGGAGGAAACGATAGGGCCTTCTTTGGCCTCATTCGCCAAATAAGGCTCATAAATTTTAGGACCAATTTTGGTCTCAAGCCATTTGACGTCGTATCAATCATTCATCACCGGCATTTTGCTTTTTTTGGGGGGCTAAATGAAGAGGGGGCGAAAAAAAAGACACGCCCCAAAACCCCCAAAACCGCAGGTGTCCTTTTGGGGAAAAATAGATGGCCCTGCTCAATGGAAGAAAACCAATCTAAACCAGTGGAACCCATCTATTCCTAAACATTTTTCCCAAAAAGGACACCCAAAACTCCCCAAACCGATTCCAAATCCCCAAATCCCCGGCCGCTGGGCAGGTCCACCACCATCGCAGGCTCCTTGCGCTTCTCCCCGGTCAGCAAGACCGGGAAGAGCTTCGGCGCCCTGAATCCAGAAATGGGATCGATACCATGGGCTTTCCTTTGGGGTTGGGGGTGGGGGTGGGGGTGGGGGTGGAGTGGGGTGGGGGGAGGAGTGGAGTGGGGTGGGGTGGGGTGGTACCCGACTTTTTGGGGGTGTTGCCAACTTGTCTGTGTTCCTTGCAGTGCCCTGTTTTGTGTTGTTGTTTTTTTTTTTTTCAGGGAAACCGAAGGGTCATCCACCATTCCCTCGGTCAGAAGACATAAGCCTATTTGAGGCTTATTTGTTGAGGGCTTCGGAACCTGAACGCACCTAGCTGAAAACTGCCAACCGCAGCCCTGAAATCGGACCGAGAAAATATGTCAGAAGGCTCGCTGAAGAGCTATCCTTAAGGCTTGGTCAAGGATGGAATCTGGATGGAACAAAAAGCGATCCAGGCACCAGTTGGTGTCCCATTCATGGGGCTTCATCCCCATGTTGACTGGCGGTTTGGTGTGGTTTTGGCGGTCCAAATGCCTACTTTGGCAGAGCGCTCCGTGATCCGTTTCCAAGACTTAGGAATCTTTGCTCAACCCTGTGTCAACCTAGGAATCTTTGCTCATGGGGAGGGAGGGAGGGAGGGAGGGGGGGGGAGCCCAAATAAGCCCTTATTAAGCCCTTAATAAGGCCTTATTTAGGGCGTATTTGGGCTCCCTCCCCCTCCCCCTCCCTCCCCCCCAGCCCCCATGAACCTAGGAATCTTTACGATTTGCCCAGTACGATCATTGTCAAGGGCCCCTCAGAGTTACTCCCTCGTCCACTAACATGGCACCCACCACAGAAGAAACTAATCTGCCAGCACCCCTCAGTCAGGTTTTATGGCAACATGGACGGGAGGATCACCTCCTGAGTGGACTGGCCAAAATGAGTCCACACTGTCTGCCACTAAAATGGTCCAAACCCGAGAAGTGACTACCTGGAGTCTGCATGACCCTTTAGAAATAGGTCCATGACCCCAGACCCCATTATCTTATATAGGGCAATGACCAACCATTTTTAAAGGGTCATGGAGACTCTAGGTAAAGTCCAAAGACGAAATCCCAAGCTCGGCGTTTCGTCCTGCAGTTCGCCCAGAACGGTGGCCATGGTGGCATCTCCAGCGGTGCCACGACCTTCCTCACGGTGAGCACAGGTTGGGCTCCCTATGTCTTTTTCAACATCTCCCGATTCAAAGGTCAAACATTCCTTAAATTTCCATACCAGGACCCCCCAACAAATAACCCCAAAGCAGCCATTGGGAGGTCATTAACCTTTGCAAGCCATTGGGGGGTCCTGGAAGGTAAATCATTAAACTCAGAAACGTCTCCCCATATTTCCTCATTGATTCATTCCAATCGGCCCCAGCGATTTTTATAACCAACAAAGAGAAACGTGCGGACCTCAAAGGCAAATTCAGTCATGGTGATAGGGGAATGCTCCTTTTATCTCATGGTAAAAAGGGCTCCCCATATTTCGCCCTCACTCAGTCAAAATTGGCCTCAAATGTACAAGCTGGGACCCTACTGAGTGAGTAAGGGTCAGTTGTCCTGCTCAACCACCGTGTGAAACACAGCCAAGAAAAAAATGAAAAAAACACGGAGAAAGTGAGGAACAAGGCATGAGAACAACTCAAAGCAGTTTGCACTTGCCACGTCACCTCGTAATGGACAGGGTCACAAGTTGTATTTTGTATTGGGGCCTGATTCCTGGAAGAATCTGACCTTCAAAACATCCAAGGCTCCATGAAAGGCCGCGAAAAGGCAACGCCAACAGGTAGAGGCTGAGTTATTTACAACAACGAGGCGCCCAACATGGTTGGCGTCCTTCTTGGTAGCCATAGCCTCCGGCCCAAAAGATGTTTCACTTGCTGCTGATGAGTGGGAACTTGTGTGTTGCCATCCTTTTTCTAAGCATAGGCGGCCTTTTGGAAAAATAGATGGCCCTGGTAAATCGAACAAACCCAATCGAAACCAGTGCCATCTATTTGTTTACCAAAACTAACTTAAAAATGACACAAAACGTTCCAAGCCTTGCCTTTCAATCACTTGATAGCTTCAAGAACCGAGCAATAGGAACCAAAGTTGCGGTGTCCATGCAGTGTCCCATCGAGGGGGGGGGGGGGGTGAATACGTTCAAAGAAAAATATCCGGGATATTCTCAAGGAAGTTAAATTGGGAAGGGTTTGGGAATCTAGCCTAAGCTTCTTAAAGGGGGACTTAAGCATGTTTAAGGGGCAGTTGATCATGTTTAAGCTGAACTAAGTCAAATTTAATCCAAATTTAAGATAATTTAACTTTCTGGAGATTTGCCCACCGGTACGGCAAGATGCCCTGTTCCTGGACAAGCCCTCCTGAGACTCCGATGTTGATGATTTATAAGCTTGGATAAGCCTTGGATAAGCCCAGTCGAAGCAAATCTAATGAAGTTCCTGTTGACACATGATTTGATACTTTGTACTTAGCAAGTAGAGTTATAAGTAATAGTATGGCCAGTCGATAAGTTTGAAGACACCTGCCCACAAACAAGTCAACTAGGTAGTTGTGTTTTGTACTTAGTAGTGCTTGGTTTGTCATTCGTACATCGTAATTAGTAATTCGTGGTCAATACTCCGTGGCTAGCATTTAGTAGTTGATAGTTCGTACTGAGTACCCAACCACAGCCAACGCCCAAGTTGTTCCATCCCCCCCGCGAATTTCATAGGCTCAGACCCTAAAGGCCTTTGCAAGGTCTTGGTTGCTGCTAACCCCACTGCAAAAAGCTAACTTCTGTGGGTCCAACTCGGAAATCCGACCTGTTTTAACCAAACAAGTTAATGCTAGGTCCTCCAGTAGAGAGGTTAGAATAACTGTACCCTCTTTTCTGTAGTCTATTTTAGTAGGGGAACCCTCCCCCAAAAAAATGGAAAAAGCACTACTGGGGGACCTAGACAAGCTAAAGTCCAAAGATCCGTTACCAAATAGCCGTAGTAAGCTCAGGTCTTACTTGGGGGAACGGGAGCCACTTGATTCCGAACCAAAAGTTGCAATTTGCTGGGTGATGTTTCCCTGGGACGGATGGGTGGGGGGCATAGGTGTCCTGTTGGAAATCGACGGGCTTCCTTGGCAGGGATCCTTACATTATACACCTGAAAATTGCCTTGTAAATTGTGGTTTCCCTTTATTTTGGTGGAAAAAGCCATGTTTCAAATGGGCAAAATGTATCTTTTAAGGAGCCCTGCTTGGTAAATGGTTCATCAAACCTATCTAAACCAAAACAGAAATCAACCCTTTGGGTTCTTGAAGGCGCAAATGGGCTTCCTTGGTTTAATGGTTGATAAAACCCATCTAGACCAGTGGAAGCCATCTTTTTCTAAGTAAACTAACCTAAAAAAGACACCTAATGTGGGTGGACGCAGGATCCTGCACCAGTTTGAAACGATGGGAAATCACTGTTCAGGGCTTCTTTGGTGCGAAATGGATTTAGTCCATCAACAGTGGGTGTCCTGAACCAGTGAAGCCCATCTTTTCTATGTAAACTAACCTAAGAAGGAATTCTACGTACTGTGGATGGGAATCCTGCACCACCTAACAAACCCTACGGGGGGACATAGCAAATATGTTTTTCAGCAAATAGAAGTAGGTAGCTGGACACCAATGCCCACCATGCTGAGTCTAACATACACCCACCTTACTTCCATTTGGTTAAGTCATGTTGAGTCCCCTGGAAAATAATATGTCCAGTAGTGATAAATTCCTCTCAAAACCAACAAGGGAAAATAACATGTATTCCTAAGCCAATGGAAGCTTAATTTACGGGCACTTCCAGGGACGTCTTCGCTGGTTTTGGCGGGGGTTCTTGCAGCATGGCTTCTCCACTCCGGGCGCCAGGTACTCGATGATGCGCTCCCGCTGCTCGTATGGCAGGGCGCGGACCTCTGAGGCCCATACGTGAAAGTAGAAGCAGCTCTTTCACTCAGCTACCTTTTCTTGCCCCAGTAGGTACAACTTCTGGGTAGGGTTCCTTAGGAAGCCTTAGGGAGCCTTGAGTTCCCCCTTGAGCTGATGAAATGCAGTTGTTGTTTTTGGTGACGGTACCCTTTTTTGGGGTCACACAAAAAAGGGACACCGAAAGGAAACTGACCATGCGAGGTCCTCTACAAAAAAAGGACACACCAGTTTACTTGCTGGTGCGAGAGATGCAGGGAATGAGAACTGGACACCATCCAACTGGTGGTTTCCTTGAAGGGACCCCTGAGTTCATTCCTGCATTCCCTACTGACCAGCAAGTTTTGAGGCCACTAAACATGGAAAGCCCAAAAAGGGGCGAAGCCACAAGTTGGTCATTTAAGGTCGACTCAGAGGTGAGGGTACCGACTTTCAAGCAGCCCATAACGCAAAACCTCAGCTTTATCATGGGGGCTGGGGGAGGGGGGGAGGGAGCCCAAGTAAGCCCTTATCAAGCCCCCACCTTCCCCTTCCCCCCAGCACCCATGACTTCGAGGTTCCAAGGTTTCATCAACATGACTCAGTCGTGAAGCCAGGGTGTCAAGATTCCCTTAAAAGGCACGCTAACCTGGATTCTTGAAGCCAGGGTTTCGAGGTCCCCCTTGAAAGCATGATTTGAGTAAAACATAACCTTGAACAACTGGCGCTTTTTTTTTGTGCTTTGGGGGGGGGGTGGGTCCAGCCTGCTAAAGGCAAGTTCCCTGGAACCAAACCTCAGCTTCCCTCTTTGTGGCGAGTGGTTTGGAGCTTGGGATGGTTTCCCACGCATTCGAACCAGAGCTTGAAAACCGTGCCACTAATCCAATGGAGTGGCTACCGCTCAGGTGTTAAGCGTTGGATTGAGTGGCTTGGCGGCTTATAGTCGTCTTAACCTGAATGGAGTGGTACTGTGGGCAAAACCGTCAAGCCATTGCGTTACATCAATGGTGTTCACTCACGAAGGGGCTCCCCCGAAAGCACCCCTGGCAGAAGATTAAACCGGACTAATTTAGGAGATTGTTTGGTGAAGGGGGGAGGGGGGGGGGCTTCATCTCAGTTGCCCAAAGGACCCAGAACTAAAAGGTGATCACCTTTTGGCACCTCTACTAAAAATGGGTGCCAAAATGGGAAAACCAAAAGGTCAGATCCGGTCGATTCGCTTTGGACAACTAAGTCATAGGAGATTCACTTGGTTGGTGTTCCAAGCACCGGCAGCCGGTCCCAAAAGCGCTCTGATTTGATCTGAGCCCATCTTCAAGAGCGCTCCCCGTCTTCGACATGCGCTCAAACCCGATGGTCCAAAACAAAAAGCCAACCCATTCATAGCATAGTTGGTGTATTCGCAGTATCCCGCATCTAACAAACACAACCAAACAACAAAATTGTGTTGTTGTATAGTTATGTCCTTGCTGGAATTTTCATGTTGTAGTTTGGCTTAACCAACCTTCGTGTGGTTTCCTTTCAAGGAATCGACTCGAGTGCGGCCAACAAATCACGTTTGGCCAAGCTGTGGCGGACCTGGTGCAGGATCCCCGTGCCGTTCTGGGACCGGGAGATGTTGCAAAGCCTTGGCGGAAGTTTGTGGCTTTCTTTTACTTGCTGCTTCGATCGGCAGGGAATGAAACATGGAATGGCCCCGAGAAAAAAAACATTCCCGATTTGGTTTCCTTTAAGGGAAACCCCTTCCAGTTCATTCCCAACACGCCGACTCGGTCATTTGCTGCTGAGAACCAGCAAGAGCCACAGGGATGCCTGGATCCATATCCATTCACCTGTATAGTGGGCAACCAAGGGAACTACCCTTCAAAAACCAAACGGAAAATAGTTGGTTACCCACTATAAGGGTAGCTGGGATCAAGTTTTTCTGGTGGTGTCCACTGAATCGATGGCAACTTGTACAAGGGACTTTCAGGAAATCCTGTTCAAGGGCCTGGCAATTATCTTACGAGCCTTAGAGACCAAAGGGCAATTGGCTAGCTTTTTAAAGTTGTTGAAGGGGAACCACAGGGAAACCGATCATGGGACTCAAGGAAACACAGCCCCCTTGGCGCCAACAAAGGAGCAAAGCTGGGCGCGTTTGGAAGGTGGCAGGAGATGGAAAGCCTTGGCTAAAGGCTTGGTGGTCGAAATGCACACACACACACATATATATATAAACAAATGTGCATATATATATATATATATCTGTATCTCTCTCTCTCTCTCTCTCCTCTTTGCTTGAAGAGCCGAAAAAGCAGGCAGCGCACACAGGAGGCTGGAGCTTCCTTTTCGGCTGAGGTCTTGGGGTCAAAGGACCAAAAGGCTTCCACGGGGAAACGGGGGGGGGGGTCTTTCCGTTTGGTTTTCCCCACATTCCTACCACAAAAAAAGCACCCGAAACACTTGGCTGGAAAAATCGGATCCCAGCAACCACGTATCGTTTTTGTTTGCCTGGAAAACAAAGGGACCCCAAAAAAGCAAAAAAGCCAAAAGGGGAGCTAATTCTGGGGAAGAACAAAAGTCACACACACTTGTCTGACACGAAAGCCCCTCATTAAGGGTTGCCAACAAAACCCTCTTCACAAGGGTAGAAGCTCGGCCCGACCCCTTCCAACCCCCCCCCCAATGAAGGGTTACCTGATATGGCTTGGGTTTTGCCTCACTGAAACAAACCCACAAAAGCTCACGGTTTTGGCTTTGTCCCCTGTGCGGACGGGACGTCTAACCCAAAAGTTGGTCAGTCCATTGAGGTGTGGAGCCACCCTTCTAGGAGCTGATTTCCACGTTTACTTCCTTGCCACCCATACACCTCCAGAAGAGAGGGAATAAGGGTACCCTTTTCTCTGTAGTCTATTTTAGCAGGGGAACCCTCCCCCAAAAAAGTGTAAAAGGGCACTACTGGGGCACCTAGTACATGCATGGCTCTGCTTGAGTCTACATTCCAAAAAAGGCACGTGTTAAGAAACACAAAGACGGCGCGATAAAAGGAAACAGTGCCTGCTGGCCCTGCCAAACGCGAACATCGTTTCAGCCAACCCCTGCTAAGAATGGGCATGCAGCAAGAACAACAAACTGTTTAAATGCATGTCACAACAAAGACCCCCGCCCCCCCCCATCCAGAAAAAAAAAGAAAGAACTATGGCCTTGGGACGGGGAAGCAATGATAGGATCACCTGCCTCCCTGATTCCCTCCTGCTTCCCCCAATTAAGACCCGGCCTTTGAAGAAAACTAGGGGAGGGCGGTCAAGGGTGGGGGAGGGGGGGTGAAAGTTCCCCCAACTTCCCATTTCAGGAAATGTTTCTCTGGAAAACACGCCCCTCGGGCGTTCGAAACGCAGCCGTCAAACGAACAGAAGCCAAAGTCAAAGGAAACTGCAAGAAAGTAAACTGAGAAACAACGGGAAAACACAACAAAATCGGCAGCTCAAACCACAATGCGCAATTTCTTGTCATTTTACACCCACGAAATCCCAAACACGTTTCCAGCCAACCAAACGACATCGACACACCTCCTTGAATAATGGAGGCATGAATGTTGATCCCAGATTTATAAACCAATCCTGCTAATTCGGGGGTGGGGCCCCTGCAACAGTGGTCGAATCCCCACGCAAAAGCCGCAAAAGCCAAACAGAGAGGAACTGTGAATGCAAAGGATGCGAAATGAAAAGCCACAAAAGAAAGCCCACCCTGAAAAAAAAAACTAAAGAAAACAAAATCACATCCTAAAATACATGGCCCTCCATGGAGATATGCAGGGCTCACCCCCTCCTCCAATTCCACCCTTAAGGGACCCGGTAGGGCTCCCAAAAGAGAGGAGTCATGGGCCCAGATGGGTGTGGCTGAAAATTGAAGAGCTAGGGTTGCGCAGCTTCTAGTAGAACGGTTCCATTTGCCAAGGTGCCATTTTGGTACGTTTATTTGAGCCACTTTTGAGAAGGAACCAAAAAAAACACCCCCGCCCTAAAAAAATGGCGCCGAGGAGCAGCCCGAAGAAGCCTTGCAAGAACTCCAGCTCCCATTCGCTCGAGCTATCTTTGTGGGCGATCCTGGGCTTTCCGTTTTGCCAGCCCTGGGCTCAGCTGGCTTTACTTCCACCCCTTGGAGGTATGACATAAGCTCGGTTGCGAAATCTGCAAAGCCCTGCTAAAAGTGACTAACTTTGAGTGGTTTAATTCGGAAAACCCATGAGTTGGCAAAAAGTTCAAGTCCTAACAGCCAAGCAAAATGCAACAAAGTAAGGGCCTATAAGATTGGAATGGCCTTGTGGGGCATTTTTGTAAAACGTTTGTCTTATCAGTCAATAGAAGTAATATGTTAGCCCCTTATGTTGCTCCACGGTTAGCAGACCTTACACTGATGAGGGTGAGCCAATCCCCCAATCACTGGAAAGGCCCGGACAAACACATCCCATGTGTCATGAAAACCGCCGTTGAAGGTTTCCCCCGATCGACCTTGCAATTACGACTCAGACTTAGCGAAGCAGAACATGAACAAAGCAAGAACAAATCCCGCTATACCACGCCATCCTCAAATGCCCTTCTAAAAATCGCCATGTTTGGCCAACCTACTGTAGGAGTGAGCTTCCCTTGGTTGAGGTAGCGTTAAGGGGAGACATAGCGGGTCTAATTCAGTGACATCCAAGCAATGTCTTGCAAAGGGAAGTCCAGCCCGGCCGAAGTTCGGTCACTTCACTTTGATGGACCCCGAGTTCTCCTGACCAACAGCTTGCAAGGGAATGTAACTTGGTTGACGTTGGAAGGGGAGCAAAAATTCTCAATTTTTAGAAGTTGAGTGGTTGGATTTCAACCACTAAACCACAATAAGCAAAAATGTAAAATGTTTCCCAACAACAACCATGGTAAAATAGATGAAGTCATTTCCGGTAACTAGGTAAGCCGATGTGTCCTTTGCTTCCTGAATACTTACACGATAGCAGCTTCACTATTATTCCCCCAATTAAAAACAAGAAGGGAAAAAGCTCTCTTTCCAAGCATCTCTGTCTCGGAATGGGCCCGGAAACCGGTGTCCTGTTGGTTTCCTGAACTCAAAACCAACCCAAGGGTAGCTTTTCTTAGAAAGACAGGCGCGGAGAGCAATCCCAAAGCAGGCTTCCGAAACCCGCAGTCCGGTTCCATGGCAATGACCGGAGAGCATTCCTGCAAGCACCGCAAGGGCAACTCAAGGGCTGGAAAGTGCCTCAACAAATCCTAATTGCAATATTGCCCCCTTCACGCATCCCAAGAAACAACCTCACCAGAACGAAGACTAGGTGCACCAGTAGTAGAGAGGTTATAGTAAGGGTACTTTTGTTTTCTTTTCGGATTTGTCTATTTCAGTAGGGGGGAGGGAACCCAAAAAAAAAGAAACGGTAAACGAGACGTCCGGCACCAATTGCTGGCGGCCCAAAACGAGGTCCGAGCCATGAGGAGCCCTCCCAGACTCCCCGAGCATTCCGAGTCTCTCTGCCGCCGCCGCTGGCGGCGAGGTGCTGGAAATCTCCTCCGGCCGGTCCTCAGCCCCCGGTCGGCTCGTCGGCTTTGGCCCAGCCCCAAGAAAAAGCAAAACGACCAGGTTCGTGGCCCCGTTGCCAAAGTCACCCCCTTTGTGGCGGTTAAAGGGAAGTTCCATCAATGGGGTGAGTATGTTGACTGTTTCTGGGGGTTCTCAAAGTCGGAAAATGGAGGTGTTTCCCTTTTCCCTACCACTTCGCGGCGTGACTTTGGTCATGGTAAACTAATGGGGCCAGGCCCCATTGTTTTACCATGATGAAAGTGACCCCCTTTGTGGTGGCTAAAGGGAAACACCTCCACTTTCCGACTTTGATAACCCCCAGAAGCAGTCAAAGCAATGACCCCGGCGTCCCCAACCATTTTGAAGGGACCAACGCGTGGCCTTGAATGGAGATCTCCCGGGGTCACCCCTCCCCAACCATTTTGAAGGGGCCAGGGATGGCATGAGATTCAAATCACCTTCCGCAGAACTACCTTAGCGACCGCCGTGAGTTAGACAAAATCCATCACCTTAGGAACAGAAAAGCAATGTGTAAGGGGGAAGTCAGTCAAACCAAAGGCCAGCGGTTTATGCTGGCAGGGTGGGTTTACCCTGCCTTCGGTACCTTCTTGTAGCCTCACCAAAACTCCTTTCCAAGGACTTCCGTATTCGGCCAGACCTGAGAAGATGTCCATAGGGACAAAGCCCGCGAGTTTGGCCACTCACAAAAGAACTGCCCCTAAAACTCACTTCCTCAATAAATGGCCAACAATAATTAAAACAAATGTGCTTGCCACTGAAATGGTGCAAACCATTTAAGTGACTCAGGTCCAGCAACTCAAAAGGATAGAAAATCATGTTTTTCCCAGAACCAGCTACCAAAAGCTCAGCTTGAATGTCCAAGGGACAGCCCTTGGCCCCGCATCGAAGACAAGACTTTGGCCTCGGCTTCGGTGGTAGATGTGTGCATTTGCTTTGGCCTGTTTTTGACCGAGTCTGATTGTTGTATTTGTCCTTTGTTTACTAGGCGTATTTTTGTTTTGACTTTTGGCTGGGTCTGGTTGGTTGCTAGTTGTTTTTGTTTTTGTCTTCTTACTAGGTCTGGTTTGTTCTGGTTTGCTTGCGGCTGGCAACAGGGTGCAGGGGCTTTTTGGCATTGAACAAGCACTTGCATGCCTAGTTGCAAGTATCCTGTCACCATGGCAGCCAATTTTCAAGAGACACCCTGTTTCACAAGGGAACAGCAGCAAATTCCAGGGCTCTCTCTCTCTCTCTACATTTCCCCTTCAAACATCACCCACGATGGAACTCATCTCAGTCTGTAAGGGAATGTTTAAACCTGCCGCAAACCCTGAATTAACTTGGAACCCAAGGAGGTCGGAACCCATCAGGAAGTTCCTTTACAAATATTACTCTTTTTTTGGAGGAGGGTAAGGTTCTAGACATTCCCTCCACCCGCAGACTGCTTTTTGGACAGTGCTTGGGATTTCGGACGTGAGAAGCGCTTGTTGGGTGCTAGGTTCGGGAACTTCAGGTTTACATATCAGACCCAGAGACCCTGAGATATGGAGATAGCATGGCAATACCAAACACAAACACACACACACACACAATTCACGAGCGTGTATATAGGTATGTGCACCTGTACATGTGGTGACATCATAGGACTCCATCCCGAAAGCAATGAGTTCAAGAAGGGGTCTCTCACTTGACGCAAACACCAAACGGCTTCCGGAATATGAGGGCAAACCCCATTTGCCCCTACCATGCTGCTAAAATATGTTCGATAGTGGTAGGTTCCCTTTAAAACCAACAAGGACAAATGCAACATACTCTCTTGCAGAATAATCTGGAACCCCAAATCACGCCCATGTGACGTGTAAAACTTCTGGGGTCCATCGCGACAAATCTACAGGGGAGCATTCTTAAGATTGAACTGGACTCTCACGGTGCCACCTTCAAGGTCGCACATGTCTCGCTCGACCAACAACAACAAAGTAGAAACATATTATTTTAGGGGAACCTTCCCCATTCTTTCCAGGCATCCTTCTTTCCACAAAAAAAACACCCAAAACCCTGGTGAAACAGATGTTTTTTGAAAAGAACGATGGTTGAAAAGAATGGGGAATCAACCCGTAGAGTTCTGGAAAGGGAAGTCAAAAGAAAGCCAGCCTTGTCCTCAGGTCCCAAGATAATAATTAATACAAGTGGCTTAAGATGGAAACCCAACCACTAAACCCCAAAAAGCTAAGAAGCTAAGGAAACCGGATGGTTGGGAGCAACCGAGTGGCCACTGACCCATCTTGTGGTTTGATCCTGAGGCTTGAACCCTGCAGGTGCGTTTGCAAAGTTGTTCCCGGCCTTCCATCGCGGCCTCGGCCCTCGAGGCTTCGCCCAAGGCCTGAAACGCCGCGCTCGCGCAGGCGCGTGCTCGGTTTCGGAAGCTCGGTTGGTTACATGTGGCTGTGGTTAAACAAGAGAGGCAGACCGCGGTTTTGGTCCATGTTTCCACTTACCAGGGCAACCCATTTTGGAATTCCGGTTTTTTGAGCCACAGCCATGTGGCTTCTCCATCTTTGATATTGAAAGATCTAGCGGTGCTTCGCCCATTCTCTCACTTCCTGAGTGGGTTGGCCCAAAACAAGTCCACGCTTGTTGTTTACCACTAAAATGGTCCAACCCAAAAAGTGTATAAAGTCCAGAAACTCAAGATTTGAGTTCTCTTTATGGGATGCTTCTCTTCAGACAAGTCAACGCTAATAGGCTAAGGGAACCTGGGTCGCTCGTTCATTGTGAAGCAAGGGACGTGGAGGGTGCCAGTGGGTAACTTCCCCATTCTCTCCAGGATCCTTCTTTCTAGAAAACCACCAAAAACCCTGGGGAAATGGCGGGTTTTTGAAAAGAACGACGGCGAAAAGGAATGGGGAATCAACCCCTAGAGAATTTGGACCTCTAGGTATGAAAACCGGAACAAACAACCTCGTCCTGGTATAGCCGCGATCTTCTCAATCTTGACCCCATATCAATCAACCCCAGCTAACCATGGGGAATCAACCCACTTTTGGAGGGGCCCCAATTGTTCTATCAATAAACTGGGGTTGATTAATATGGGGTCAACAGTAGTTGAATTGAGCGTCATGGATTTATGGAAAGCCGCAGAACAAAGTTGGGCCCAGTCTGGAGCGGGTGTGCACTGCCACCAAAGTTATCCTCTGTTGTCACGATCCCTGTCGACGTTTTTTGCGTGGGAAACTGCAATTCCCTGTGGTAAGGCAACCATGTATTGTACTGCTCGTTGTGGTTCTTTGCTGCGGAATGGGAACGGCCTCCCAGCGAAATGGCCTGTCGGCAATAAAGGCACCCGTTCTTAGCAGCACTCCCTCCCCACGCCCCACCAAAAACAACATGGGAAAACAACACAAAACACAATGATCAATCTCGGGGGTCACCTGACTACCGCCTGCAAACTTTACTACATTTCCACAAGCTGAATTAAGAACTGGATCCCCAAGTAAAGGACCTTTCTCATGGCTTCCGCTTGTTATACCCCAGCTCATCGGTGAGCTCGCGTCAATAGACGGACTGATGAAGCCGACCCTAGTCCATACCGAAGGACATCGCTTGTGTTGAAATGGACTGAGCGTTCCAAAGCCTGGCCGAAGCCTCGCAACCAACTCCAGCCTTCTAAAACACGCGTCGTGCGCAGGCAAACGCAGGAAACGAGTGCATTCTTCCAATTGACAAAAGCAGACAAACAAATAAACAAGCCAACCAAGCAAACCAACAAACAAGCAAGCAAGCAAGCGCGCAAGCAAGCAAACACGCAACTACACAAACAAACAAGCAAACCAACAAGCAAGCAAGCACGCAAGAAGGCAAGCAAGCAGCAAGCAAGCCAGCGAGCGAGCAAGCGAGCAAGCAAGCGAGCAAGCAAGCGAGCGAGCAAGCGAGAAAGCAAGCAAGAAAGAGCGAAAGCGAGCGAGCAAGCAAGCAAGCAAGCAAGCAAGCAAGCAAGCAAGCAAGCAAGCAAGAAAACACACAACCACACAAACAAACAAACAAACAAACAAACAAACACGCAAGCAAGCAGGGAAGCAAACAAGCCAACAAACAATCAAACAAGCAAATTGCGACCTCTTCCATTGGCCATCTCAAGGCATCATGCTCGCTGACTATTCTAATTCACCTAGGAAAGGAACCTTCACCCAGCCTGGTCCTGGCAAACAAGAGGACCTTTTTGGGTTGATCGTTCTATTTGTCAAGCCCACCAAAGAATGGACAATAGAAATCGCGCAACTGAATAACTTGCTGCCATGTCCTTCCAGAACTTCTGGTTGCTACCATGTCCCCCGTTTTAGTGGGAATCATCACTTTTGGAGGGGAACACCCCCATATTAATAAACATGGGTTTATTAATCCGGGGTCAACATTAGCTACCTGTTTAAAAGCAAACTTGGATAATCCCATCTCCTTGGCACCCTTCCAACCTCCAGTTCGCTTGTGTTCTTACTGCGGTTGTCATGCCCCAGATCGGCTACAACCAAACAATACCGATGTGAGGTTGCTATCTGCCGAGAACTTCGCGGAGCACTGAATGTTCATCTTTGTGGATCCGTCGCTCCCTGAGTACATGGATGTACGACCCGCTCGGTGGTTCATCACCATGGAAAGGGAACTGACCCCGGGGCCCCAATGATAACCCATGGCGTTGTTTCAGCTACTTACCTGGGCTGTCCTTAGATCCCCCGCTAAAAGTTTAACTTTTAGTGGGTTAAATGGAAGTCCCCACTAAACACTAAAAGGCTAAAAAGCTAAGGAACCGGATGGCTGGGCTAACGACTGCTCAACTAAGCAGCTAAGCTAACGAACTACGAAACTAAGTATCTTGAACTGCCTAACTTACCAACTGACTCCAACTAAGCAACTAAACAACCAATTCTCAGTTGCCCAAAGGTTAACCTTTTGGCACCTCTACCAAAAATGGACCAAAATGGGAAAACCAAAAGGTCAAAAGGTCGGCTTTGGACAACTGAGACTTAACTACAAGGAGCAAACTATTCCCATTTCAGCCGTGGCTCCTTACTTCTCCTGCGCGCGGCTGAGGCCGTGAGAGAGACGAAGGCAAAGGCACTTTGAAGCCAAGAGTAAGAGTGGGTGATGAATAGCTCTGCTGAGAACGACCAAAGTAATATCCTCACTTCCTGAGTGAGTTAACACGAAGCAGGTCTAAACTTGTTTGCTGCCGAAACGAGCTTCCCACGAGACATACAGTTCCCTTTTGAACCCCTTTACGGGGACTATATGATTTAGCCGAGCTTAGTTAAGCATCGTCAGTGCGCCTTCCCCCGATCATTAAGACTTAGAAAAGAACGACGTTTCGGGCGACCTTTTGGCACGTCTCTCTCAAAGCCTTTGCAGAAGAAAACGGCGAGGGCTGAGAGCAAAGCCCATTTCTTGAATCCTCCTCAAAAGAACACGCACCCAATGAGCCTCTGGTCATTGAACCTCAGAATCAAAATAGACGCTCAATGCTCACTTCCTGAGTAGGACAACGACAACTGTTGCTAGCCCCCCAAAGTTACTTCCCAACAAAGTGCATCAGGCAACCGGGAAATCGGAGAGTAAGCCTTTCAATGTAATTACTTTTCATGGAGGTTACCGCAAAAGTGGACTCAAAGGAGCAAGTCTTTGGTTGACTTGAAGATGAATCCAGTGGACAACCATGCGTTTTCAAGCGTGCGTGACACACCCATGCATTAGGAGTCGGAATCAGGCACCCCCCACCGCCAATATCCACCAGTGTGTCACCTCGGAATACTCAACGTTCAAACGGCCGTGTAGCCTTGAAATCGAAACAGCCCTTCACGTTTTCTCTTGGGACCCCGTGTTAAATGGACAGCTCCACAAAGGTCAAGCCAATTTGGACAAAGCCTAGCACTTCGTGCAATGTCGGTTGGGCTATACAAGGCTATTAGCCCTTCAAACAGGTTCTAACCCCCCCCTTCCTAGCACCTAGAACGCGAATGTTCGGGAAGAAGAAAACATGCCAAACGATTGAAAGACATCCCCCTACCTCAACAACTGGCGAAAAAGGTGTTATTTCCTGTGGCTGTCCTGTGGTACACCCTTAAAGCAAGCGAATATTTCGAGGGGTGCGAAGGACAGCAAAACCAAAAGAGGAGCTCAGTATACCTTGTAAATCTAGATTCCCTTTAAATCCACCAAGGGGGAAAATATTCCTTTCAGCAAATTAATGACTTGGGGCAGTCCCCGCGTCCCATTCTGATGGATCGATCGATGGCGCGTGTCCTTGCGCCATCAAAGCCGGCCTCGCGAAGCGATGGGCTCAGCCCAGGCTCGGCGCGGAACCAAAAAAACGCCATCACATGCCACGAAAAGGAAACAAACACATGTACTGCCCTCAGATCCCCCGCAAAAACTTCAACTTTTAGTGGGTTAAATGGAAAGTACCACTAAGCACAATAATCGTTAATTTGGTGGAACAAGAGTCAAACACCTGCTTGGAGATTTTAATATATTTTTTTCTGACCCTTAAAACATGCTTGGTCAATACCCGAAATAAAGGCTTCCATTTGGTTCAGGCCCCAGTATTCAAAAAATGTCCAGTAGTGATGACTTCCTTTTACAACCAACCAGGGAAAATAACACATATTCTTAAGCAAATGGAGGTGCAGTTTGCCCCTCAACAGCTGAAGGCTACAGGTCTCGGTGCAAATCCCCAAATAGGCCCCAGGGGGCTTTTAGGGAGGCTTCCTTTGAGGGTTAGAGGTGTTTCTTGGGGAAACCAAGCCGGGCCTCGCTTGTTTTTGCTTGCGGCAAAAGAGATCTGCCCCTCCAAACCAGACCTTTTTTCATCAGCCCCGCCGCACGGCCCGCCTGCAGGCCGCCCAAGGAGAGGAGGGCCAGCGCCAGCACGGCCCAAAGCAAGAAGCAGCGGCGCATGGATCATCCGACTCCCCATCTCCGCATGCGCGCGATTCGCGCGCGGAGACAGCACTGGAAGGTGTGTTTTCCCGGGCAGGGAAACCAAGGTACTGATTGAGGTAACCATGGCTTTGGGGCATTCTAGTGCATCTCAATTCGTGAAGTGTCAGCTGGCATCACAAGCTGGGCGAAGGGATAAGGTGTTGGCTCGCAGGTCCCCTGCCAAAAAGTCGACAACCTTTAGTGCTTCAAATGGAAAGTCGACTACGACAACGAAAAGCACCCTAAACCCAACACCCTACACAATTGGTTAGTTTCTACATTAATTTAAACCCTAAAAAACATGTTTCTATATTGATTTAAACCCCAAACAATTTGACTAAAAAAACACTAAGCTTTAAGCAACCGGACCATCCGCAAACAAAAGCCCAAGGGTCTGTGGTTCCGAAGCCGGGCTTCGGCCTGGAGCCATGGCACGAACACCGGCAAGCTTTGTGGGGGGGGTTCAATTCGGAAAACCCAATGGGTGTCAACCAAAAGTTAAAATGTCTAAACATCGGCTACCCAAAAGCAATATATATATATATATATATGTATGTATGTATGTATGTATATATATATATATATATATATGTATCTATGTATGTACTCATGTATGTATATATGTATATCTGTGTATATATGTATGTATGTATGTAGATCTATGTATATTTATATATACACGTAATATATGCTCTGCGCAGGTGAGATAATTTGTTCAGGTCCACATTCAGTCCATGGGCTTGGCCAAACAAAACTGGGTCTGCTTCGGTTTGTGCAGCCCTGAAACCTAAACTAGGTCCTCCAGTGGAGAGGTTGGAATAAGGCTACCCACTTTTTTCTATAATCTATTTTAGCAGGGGAACCCTCCCAAAAAAAAGGGTAAAAGGGCAGTAACCGAACCACACATTCCAAACACCGGAGAAAAAAAAGGAAAAAAACATGCCAACACCAGCAAATATATATTCACTGGCTTTAAACTTTCGGGTGCAAAAGCTAGAGAATTTCCCAGGGTTTTGGGAATGAACCGTTTTGGCGACCCCGAGTGGGTTCGAACAAATTTGTTTCTTTCGGATGCTGACATTACTGTCCCTTGAGGCGTAAGCGGTTGGAGCCCGTTCATTCGAACCCGCTTTTCTGGGTCACTGAATGATGTCAATGCAACCACTTGGCCAGACTTAGACCCTCTGAAAGGTAGCTGTTGTGGCACGGGAAACGGCGGAAAACCAACAAAGGCACTGAACCACTGCAAGGGAGATACGTTTCGGCCGGGCACCCGAGAAAGCTAAAGCCTGAAAGGCTAGAAACGCACGGGGAAACCATTTAGGTTGCAACCGCCCCAAAAGCCCAGTGACGCCATTTCCCACGTGTTGTTGCTAACCAAGTTGGAACTGCCCGATGCAAAAACCAAAAGGAACATGCCAAAAGGTTACCTACCATAGTGGTAACTGGGATCCACTGAACTACTGGATTGGGGGGACTAAGCGCCACGCGCCGAACACACGCGGACCTTTTTGGGCTGTTCGATCCTCCTTCTGCTCAGATGCTGCCTCAGTCGGAAGTTCCAGTGTCAGGCCCTAAGCAAAGAATTCCAGATCCGTCTCCCTGAGGTTCGGCTTGCTCTGGGGCTATTGTTGTGACTGCGTGGTGTGGCTGCTGTTGTGTTTTCGCCCATGTTTATGTTTGTTTTTTAATGCTAGGGGGGGGGGGGGGGGGAAACTTTCTTCTTCATTTTTTTTTTGGGGGGGAGGGGGGTAGAAGTTTCTGTTTGTTTTGTTTGTTTAAAGTTAGTCAGAGAATGGTTGCTCGTTTCCTCTTGAACCCAGCACTCAGGTGACTTTGATAGTGATTTTCAGGTATGGGTGATGGAGGTACTGTGGATGGACGAAATCCATGCACCACCTAAGAACCGCAGGAATGATGATTCCCGTGTAAATGGCAGCGAAATGGTTTGCCATGGTTTCAACTTGCTGCAGGATTTCGTCCATCCACAGTCTGGAGGTGGTATACTAGGTAAAGGGGTATGTACTTCCATGTTGCCCATTTTTTTTGCGAATCTGAGCCCCCACGATGCGTTTGTTCTCACTATCGCCTCTATCTTCAGGAGGGGCCGAGGGTCCTACAACGTCATTTGTCCATTCTTCCGACCACAAAAGGAAAAATGAAGAATCTCCAAAAGTAGTTTTGAGAAGCCGTACTGTCAATATGTCGGGCCGTGCCCTATCTCGCCTACCTTAAGGGGCAGGTCCCAATCAACCCTTTGTTTACTCTTCTCCACAAATTCATGATCATCTCCTCCCCCTGTTAACCAATGCATCCTATTCTAAAAAACAACTCGTTTTTTCCCAGAACGGGTCCCCAACAACACTTTTTGAATAGGCCAATTCCAAAGCTAAACTGGCGCAGTTCTCGCGCAGGCCTGCCTTAACCTCTGGGGGTAGTCACGGGCCCAAGCTCCCCAAGCTCCTTGCAACCAGCCCATGCCAAAGTTGAACAAAAGCAAGGCCCTCGTTCCCTTTCAACCTTTTCTTGGCTTTGCGATGCTTCGGGTTGGTTCAAGGGGATTCGTTCATCATATCCGCAAATATGAGGCACTTGGACCCTTTGGGATTTGCAAAGTCGCAAATTAGGCCCGTTCCAAGGCCGAGGGATGAGTACATGTGCTTCTGAGCCCATCTGACCCGCATCCCCCTATTAATAATACCGATTGCCCCGAGCCAATATATTATGTATTAATAGGGGGTGGGCGGGCGTAATCACGAGGGAGAACAGATTAGGGGTCACTCTGCTCCCTGATTCTGTTTCTCAGGGGGGTGGTGTTTTGCTAGAGGGACTATCCAACAGGCACAGATTAAAAGCAACACATACATAGCAACCAACCCGCTCCAACGCGGAACACCCGCCGAAATGATAAGCATACATACCCATGCAAACCCCGAATGTCGTTATTCTTTGGAGGGGTTCCTTCAAGGGCCAGCCAGAAGTTTGCCCGACCCGGGTTGCCAAGCGACCGTGCTTCTAAAAACAAAATGAAGAAGCAGCCCTCACAGTTTTGGGTTGGCAAATGTTGTTTGCCCATACTCCAGGCAAACATGACATATTGCTCACTGAAGTGGACTGGCAAAGAAAAAAACGGTCTCGACTTGTTGCGTGCCGCTACCCAAACCCGAAAGGTGGAAAGGCCAAAGTCCGAAACGGAACTCCTTGGAAGTGAGCTGAGACAAGGACCCCCGAAAAACAAAAGAAACAAAAACAACAAAAACTCAAAAACAAGAAGAAAACAAAACGTTGCGTTTCTCTCTCGCCGAAGAAGCTGGGGTAGAGCATGACACGGCAGGGCGCGCCAAAAGCCTTCGGGCTTCGGGCGGGGTGTTGCTGGGAATGGTCGCTGGGATGTTCCAAGCAGGGAATAACTCCAAGCTTAGGCGATGTTTTGGGAAAGCATGCCTTCCCATGGTAAATACATCCCTTGGTAGTAAAGGGTGGGTGATCCCTTACATTTGCTTGTTATTCGCCCCCTGGAAAAGTTGAGAGCAGTATCTCCAGTAAAATCGATTCCAACGTCAAAGCCAGTGGAAAAATATGTACTCATTTCGGCAAATGGAAGTATATGGTAATTGGGGACACTGGAGTTAGTTCGCGTGCAACCATGGTTGCAATCTACCTTCTAGGTGGGTTTAGCATCTCTGTGAGTCTGGCTAAGCTTGTTTTTTTCCCTTTTCGAGGGAAAGGGCAACACCAAGCTTAAAGTGTGGAAACTGAACAGGTAAGTTGGAGCAAGGTGTCAGTGTCCAACTCCCTGCATATGAATCTGGGAAGATTCCTTATGTGAGAACTCAAGTGACAAATAACACTTGGTATTGAGATGGTCTACCCACAACCCCGTATATACGGAACAGTAACCGGGCAGGCAGACACCCACACCAATTTTTGGTTGGAACTAGGTGTCCATGGATTTCTCTGGCCACCATCAGCCATCCCCTGTCCAACAAGCTTGTTCTTCACTGGTGGGCTCGGATCCCCCCAAACAGCGACGCAAAGTTCACAAAGTTAGAAATAAAAGAGACATCCTGCGATAGGAACCCTCAGGGCTGGTCTCAAATTTACAGGGACACCAAAAGGACAGCCATTTCAGGGAAACCGGCTAAAAGCCTTGGTACGTCCAAGCCATCCAAACTGCGTCAAATGAACCATAATGAACATTGTCTACCTAAACTATAAACTAGAAAAGGGACGGCACCCATGTACGGTTCCAAGAACCCTCCAACATACCTTTGGCATACCACAACCCTCCCATGAAGAATCGCTTTCATTTGGGGTCCCATTTCAAATCTCCAAAAGGTATGTTGGAGGGTTGCCTCAATGCATGGGACTCTCCCGTACCCTTCCAACCACCAGCTAGTCTAGGTCCTCCGTTCGAGTAAGGGTACCAACTTGTTTTCGGTGTCTATTTTAGTAGGGGAACCCTCACCCTCCCAACCAAAAAAGGCTTCAAAAGTTGGCACCTAGCTGGGGGACCTGTAGTCAGTCTACCAGGCCCCAACCGAGTCAGGCCGAAGCGCCTGACTCGCCCGAGGCCCTTCAAGCCCCCGCGCCTTGGGCGGGATGTTCTTGGCGAACTTGGCCCGGACCACCCCCGAGTTCCCGTGAGCGCGCCGCACCTGGCGCGCGTGCGCGGTCCGAGGGCCCTCGGACGCGCATGCGAATCCGTTTTGGATCGGGTAGCACCTCAAAAAAGGCTCCGGAGGTGAAAAAATGAAGCGAGGAACTGGGTTCCCAGCCTGCACCATGGTGACTCATGTGAGTAGATCGGCCTAACAAGTCCAAAGGTCTTGTCAGAATGGTTGCCCCAAGAGGTAGAATGTCCAGGAACTCAGGTGACTTGAGCAACTTGCAATGCTCGGGAAGCCAAGCGTTTGCTCTACAACTCCTACATTGGAACATGCGGGGTGCGATTGGAATATTCGAACGATATCCTTGCGTCTTTGGTGGAGCGGGAGAGGAACTCTATTTTGCACCCAGTGAAAGGTAGAACCACCGAGTGGATGAGAAACGCACAAACCACTACGCTCCAGCCAGTCATGTGACAACCTCAAAGAAGCCACTTTGTTTGAACAAGATCCCCTGGTGGAAACGGGGTTCCACATCATTTGTTGCAGGGGAATAAACTGTTGCCCGGTTTTCCAAATAAACAGCCTAGAACTGGTGAGAACAAAGAGATTTGCTGAAACTACAACGAAACAACAGTACCCCCCCGACCAACTAGCATGGAAACTGACTGGACGCGGCTGGCAGGCTGGCAGGGAACCCCTGTGTTTCATGCTTGGGAAGGGTACCAGAACTTAATGTCGGAAGGTTTCACTACCAATGCCCTGGACCATACCCTGGTAAACCAAACATGGGGTCTGGTCAAGGGGTTTTGGTAAAATCTGCAATGAAAGCAGCTGCTTGACAACGCAGGCGGATCCTTGCCCCACATGACGCGGAACTTGCTGTTGTTGACCTCCTTCTTCGCCTGGTGACGAATGGATGCCTTCTAAAAAATAGGCACATTCCAACCCTTGGTAGGATAGGAAAACTCTGTTTGCAGCCCCCTACTAAAAACATGAACGGAGCCAACAAACAAACTAAAAAGCATGCCATCAACAATGAAGCATAAGACTTACACAGCTTGCTACTCCCTTGCTAGCTAATCTTTGGGTATTCATCGTATGGCTTGGAGGAGTAGTTTGGCATGCCCTCTGTGCCTTAATGGGGTGGGGCCCAATTCCATGTAGATAGACATCCCCAAAGAGCGGAAAAACAAACTGTGTAAGGGTGGCGGTGGGTGGTGTTGGTGTACATGTTCAAAGGGCAACAACCTTGACACCCTCGCTTTCCGGGAGAACCCAGGACAGGTTCTGTAGCTGTAGAACCTTTTTAGGAGGGATGAGAACTTAGAAGAGTTCTGAGAAGCATTCTGGCGGATAGAGGGGGCCCTACACAACGATACAAAACAGCACCCGGACTTCCGGCACGGCCAGTGCGCCAACACACGGAAGCAACACACTTGTCTTTCATTGCAGGTGTACAAACACCACACGGCGCCCGGCACAGGGAAATTCAGGGATTCAGGGAGAGATACTGTACTCATGGGGTCTGAGGGGGAGGGGGAGGGAGCTTAAATAAGCCCCAACATAAGGCTGTATTACGTGCTTAATAAGCGCAGATTTGGGCTTTATCTCTCCCTCCCTCCCCTCAGGCCCCATGATATACAGGGGGTCCAAGCAAAACCGGGGCCAAGTGAAGCGCACGCTGTCGCATCTGACTCCAAGTCATCCTCTGCCCCGCTGATCTCCATCACTCTCTCACGCTGCGGGAAGGTTCAGGGTTGGACGGAGCACCCCTGGAGCAGCAGTATTAAGGTGAGTCTGTTCGTCGGCATCAAACCCTCCAAAACCGCTTTGGTCTTCCTCTTCATTTCCCTCACGCACCGCAACAAAAAGGACTTCCAACTCCCAAAAAACACAAGCAGACCCATTTGCTCCATGCCAAGAAGAGCTGTTCACCTTCCAGCCTTTTCCAAGAACTCACTTGCCCAAAGGACCCAGAAATAAAAGGTAAACCTTTTGGGTCCATGACTAAAACTAGACCAAAAAGGAGAAACCGAAAGGTCAAAAGGTCGGCTTTGGGCAACTAAGAAAACACTCAAATTCAACCCTAAGGAGGGCTGGCCACACATGAGCCCCTGGCTAGGTTTCCTTCAGCCAGTCTTGGGTGCGCCCTGCGGAGGGGGGGGGTGGCCTTCTTTCATGAAAATCAACAAGCAGAACAAACAAACAAACACTTAGAATGGGCAAAATGATTCGTGCACTACTTCCAATGCCCGGGAAACGGGCAAGGCTGCACAAGTGAACATATTGGCCTGTGCCCAAGATCTCAAACTCATGGACCACTAAGGAGGGCTATGGGGAGGGGGACCATCCCTTGTTAGCTCCTTAATCAGGCCTTACCTACGGGCTTCTAGGTCCTCCAGCTGAGAGGTTAGAATAAGGGTACCCTTTTTTCTGTAGTCTATGTTAGTAATTGAAACCCTGCCCCAAGAAAGGGTAAAAGGGCACTACTGGGGGACCTAGGCTTATTATCCTGCGATAGCCCCCGCCCCCCCCTCCACCCCAAGCCGCCCCCCCCACCTTGTACACGTAGGCCACCCTCTTGCCCAGGTAGAACTGGGTGTCGTCCTGGCGCAAGCCCGCCAGCTGGCCGGGTTCGCTCCAAACCAACCTCACTTGCTCAAAACCAGTTATTATGGTCGACCCAGAACCACATCTCTACTCTTACTATGGTAGCGGCAAACTGTGTTTTTTGCAGACCCCAGTAAAAATGAACAGAACCAAAAAAACATGATCCAAGAACAGTGAAGTGTTGGTTGGGATTGTCCCTTACCTTTGGGTTTTGAGCAAGTGGCTCACCTGTGGGCCCCCTGAAAAGTGACCGGCGTGAGAAAGGGCAATTATCTCAAGGGGGAGGGGGTTGGGGGTTCCGGCACCCAGTTCCATTTATCCAATTGCAGTCTTCAAGGGAAAGGGAGATCTTGCCAAAACGATGAAGCCCAATGTTGAAAGTTTGGACCGAAAGGGGCAAGCTTGAGAGAAACCCATCCCAAAAAAGGAAACTGCAGTCAGCCTGACCCTTTCGGACGGCTCAGTATACATGTCCAGATTGATCTGGTGCTTGTGTACCCTGCACCTGTGTTCTGCCATTGTTCCCGGTTTTTGTTCAGTCAAAGGCAGCAAAAAGGGATTCTTGGGTGATCCAGGTGGCCAGAAAAAGTGCCAAAGCTTGTTGGGCCTTGATTCAAACCAAGAAACCAACCAGCAACAAGTGTTTACGACACACCCAGCCCAATCTTTCAAATTGGCAAAAGTACCCTCCCTACCACCTTGCTATGGCACCTGAAGGGGAAATTCTCCCCAAACGAAATTGATCTTGGCACCCTCCCACATGTGCCGTCTGTCAGTGGAAGGGTACCGGGCAATGCTTAAACTCCCGCAGTCGGGCAACAAAAGCAGGGCTGTGGGAATGACCACTTCTGTGGTACAACAAAAGGCCCTCCCAAAGACTCCCCCATCTAAAGAGGAGATTCCCTCAAATCACAAAAGTGGGGATAGCCTCCTTGACGCTCCTTGATCCCACAACCCTGAACAAAAGGGGTGTTGGACACACCAGCATGGCTCGAGTAATTTGGTACCTTGGTGCGCACGCCGTCGATCTTCAACAAAGTGCAGTTGGCATAGCAGTTGGACTTGCTGCGCTTGTATCCTGGGAGAAACACGCACTCCCCATTTCCCGGGCATCTGACTGGCTTGTGCATGCTTCTGGTAACGTAGCCAGTCAAGGGAAACATTGGCACCCTCCATTTGCTTAAGTTCACTGGACAAAGAGTACCTCCAGTGATAGCTTTCCGTTAAAACCCAACAGGGGAAAAATATTCCTTTGAGAAAATGGAAGGCGCGTACGCTCAGTCCGATTCATGTTTGGAAGGCGACGGAAAAGGAGCAAGAGGCGAGGCACCTTCATCAGGGGCTCGTTTTGCAACTGCTGCACCAACTTCCTTTTGGCGAAGGGGAGCGGTCAAACATATTTGGTGCAATCCCCTGGTCGCTCCATGAGAAACCACTTCTCTTGGTTGCCCTTTCACACATTCTGCACCACCTTGTTTTTCTCACTTCCTGAGTGTTTTGGAAATAAAGTCAAGCTTTGTTTGCCACTAGCACCGTCTTCCCATAGGGGCATAAAGTTCAGCATCTCGAGAAGTAAGCGAAACGTCACCCAACCCAACCAAAACATATTCGGCGCCAGCCAAGAGGCCCAGAATCAGACCCTTTGCGTAGAGCCGCACTGGCTGCTTGGTCTTCTTCACTTGCTTCTTCTGGCGCGAAGCCAATGTTGGCCAGGCCCAATTCTGTGACCCACCTAAGGAGGCTTTAACAGGCCCTTCTGGGAATTGCCTTCTTCGGTGAAGTGGAGAAAGAAGGCCTACCGAGCGACTAATTCTCCGTTTGGCTGTGGGTCAAGCAGGGGTACCCAAAATGGAACCCTGGCAAATGGAACCAAAGACTAAACCCTGCGGTCTCCTGGTGGTTAAATTTTGACTCAAACCCGAAGGGAAGGCTACCGAGTTCTATCACAGAAGGCCTCATCGCGTCTTCTGGCGCGTAAAGCTGACGCTGGCCCAAGGTGGATCAAGTGCGCAAGTGAAATCAGCGCAGTTTACAGCCCCTTGTGCAATGTCAGTTTCAGCTTCATCCGGGGAACGGGTGGTTGCTGTATAAGTTGAGCTCATTTTACCCTGCTGTTCCGTGACTCTAGATGCAACATGAAAACCCTCGTTTGCTCGTTGAGTGGGTAAGTGGTCAACAATGTCCTCGTTTGCGATCCGCCCCGTTATCCAGACAAATCGCCTTCCCCAAATGACGGCATTTCACTGGCCCCTTGAGGTCCAACGTTCGGAACTCAACAGGCGGAAGATCGAAGAACATCGTGATTCTACACCCCAAATCTGCTTCCCTCGTTTGGTTTGGGGCCGAATCGGTTACCATCTACGAGAACCATTTACCATCTAAATCAACAAAGGGTTACCTGAAACTAAACCAGGCCCTCCAGTAATTAGAGAGGTTACAATAAGGGCACCCTTTTTCAGCAGTCTATTCTAGTAGGGCAACCCTCCCCCAAAAAAGGGTAAAAGGGCACTACTGGGGGACCTAGTGCAAAAAATGCCTCGGACGACGATGCATCGCTCCCAGCCTTTGCAGTCTTCGCCTCGCCTGCCAAGCGAGCTGAAAATATTTGTTGCGTTTCCTATTAGAAAGTCTTCACAGTTGACCCCACCAAAAGGAAGTAAAGGAAGCTCACTGGCTGAGTGGATGGCCCAAAAAAAGTAACCAAACTTTCTATTTACCACTAAACTGGTCGTCCCAAAAAGTTTAAAGTTCATGAACTCAGGAAGTGAGGAGGTGAGAAGGACGCCCTAAACAACTCGTTGACATGAACAAATGGATAGGACAAACACGGTGTTTGGGTTCAAGGCCCCCGGGACGGTTCGCCTTTTTGGGGTGTTAGCAGGTCTTGGTTCACAGGAGATGTCACGGCCTGCTTGCCTTGGATTTTTTTCCTGAGCGAGGAAGCCTAGTTGAACATTACCCAATGTCCAGAGTCCGGACTTTAAGGTGTAAAGACCCCTTTAACATTCCCGCAGTTTAAGTGGATGGCCGAAACAAGTCACTTGCTGAGTTTTTGCCAAACCACCGTCAACCACCATTGTCCAAGCCGAAGGAGCACGAAGCTCCTTTGTTGACCCTCTCTTTCTTCCACATCTGACATCTGAACATCTCTACTCTTGGTATGGTAGCAAAAAACTTTGTTTTTTTTGCAGACCCCCAGTAAAAATGAACAGAACCAAAAAACTAAAAAACTAAAAAACATGATCCAAGAACAGTGAAGTGAATGAAGGCTGGTGTGGACCGGTTTCAACGTCAGGTTCCGATTTCCTTTACCCTTCCAGAGCTCCATGCTTCAAGCCGGCGGGCCAGGGATTTGGGCGGCTTGAGGAAACCGAAGGCCGCTGGCTGGTCGGTTCACGAAGCCACCTAAAGGCAATCCCAAAGCCAGGCTCGGTCAAGCATGTCAAACCAACTTCAGCAGAACCCCCTCCATGGGACAACACCCAAAGTCAAGCAGTTCTGCTTAATCCCACGTTCTTAATTAGCTTGGACTGGGTCAATGGAAGTGACATCTTCGAAACCTTCTAACTGGTTTAAGGGACCCCCACACCAACACTCATGTTGATAAAGTGTATCCATTGAAACTCCCATGCCCACATGTTGATCTTGCCCGAGTGTAAGGACCAACAGGGAAAGCGCTTTTTCCCTTACGTCGCAACCCTGCCCATTTTAATCCAATGAAGAGAACCCGGTTGAAAATCAGGTGTGTCCCGGTATGTCCCGGTGTGTCCCCCCTCTGTTCATGTGAAAGGTGGGTTGAACTTGCAAAGGGAGTTGAACACCATCTCTCGAAACCAACTGGGAATGAAAGGTTCACCTTTTGGGGCCATGATTGAAAACGGATCAACCTTGGGAAACCAAAAGGTCCCATCCGGTCGATTCGCTTTGAACAACTGAGACTTTCTTCCATTTGCATAAGCCCCCGGAAAAGCAGGGAGAACATATGTCCAGTGGTAAAACCGATTCCCTTTGAAAGTAACTTAAGGGAAAATAAAACAAATCCTCATTTCAGCACATGGAAGCGACTTAGACTCCATCTTAGATCTCTTCCGAATCCCCGGCCTGCCATGCTTCCAATTGTGTCCCAGTCTCGTACGAACAGCACCCGCTTTTTTGAGCCGGAAGCGGACGGCGTTTCTCTTTTTGCGCGGTCGGAGCCTCGATGCGAGCAATCAACCATGCGTTTTGCTTTTACGAGCATGGACCAGAATCTGAAGATTTGTCTGGGATTATTTTTGATTTGGTTAAGGCCCCATAAAAAAAATGATACAATATCACCAGTAGTGCTGAATTCCTTTTAAACCCATCAAGGGGAAAAAAAGAAACTAAAAAAACACTATATTCTTGGGCAAATGGAGGAACCTAGATATGTGGGGCAACTTATTGCGGCCGACTACTGTAGTTGCACCGATGACTCAACTTTGTGGCTTTGATGTACCTCACAAGCCCATTGTAAATACTTAGCCTATGACACTTTAATGAAAACGGCAAAGTTCAGGTTGTGAATTCCTGCTGGGCCTACTGTGGATGGACAAGAACCTGCACCACTTGGGATTTACAAAGCCTTAATCACTTCTTCAGTGCAGTGCATTGGCTGAAAGAAGTTCAAACTGTTGCTCTAAATTGTCTTCCTAGAGTCTCCATGACCCTTTAAAAATGGGGTCATTAGCCTAAGTAATGGGGTCATGGACCTATTTTGAAAGGGTCACGGAGACCCCAGGTTCTCCAAAAAACATAAGGTGCACGAACTGAGGGAAGCGAGCTTGGGACAGCGCTAGGTGCAAACCAAACACAAGCAAGCCCATGTGTTGGTCTCCCTTTCCCAAAGGCTCCTAAGTACTGTACCTCCCCCACCACCAAAAAAACAAACAAAAAAAATACGGCTTCTTGGGGTTCCTGCGGCAATTCACGTCCAAGCTGCAGAGTCCGAACCTCCGATGTGAGGCACTCCGGGATTCTTGCCAAAATATTTTTTTCCTTCGGCCCGTTTCTGAAGGCTGAGTATACTCCTGAGCTTACCCCTGAAAACTCCCTGCGCCCTGGGGAAGTGAACCTCATCTTTTACAGACAGAAAAAGCCCACGTCCACCAAAAAGTTGAGAAAAGTTTCGTGCTGTTAAGAGGTAAGTGAGGGATCTTCGAATCCCATCTTCGAATCCATGGGAAGTCTCCGGAGCCCGGCTTGGGACTCTCTGGGCTCCAGGTCTGCCCGCCGAACAAACCTCTCGCGTCCCGGATGGCGGATGGCGGATCGCGGGTCGCCTGGTCGCCCGGCTCGACCTGTGCATGTGTGACCCTTCAACGCCACTCCCGGGAAAGAGAAGAAACATGGAACGCCCAAATTGGAAACCCCCCGAATTATGGGGCAGTGACGATTTTTTGACCGGGGTTTCCTGAAGGGTCTGATCCAGAGGAGCTGGTGTGTGTGTGTGTGTGACTTCTAGCTAATGGAGAGGCGATAACAAAATTGGAGTAGTGGGTAGTGGCCCCTCCACGTCCTCTCGAAAATTTGCAGCAGGCTAGTAAGATTGCTCGATGCTCAAATGATGTGGATGTTGGTACAGGCATTCGAGCCCCACAGATTGTCATGGGTTACAACTCTTCCCTGGGGTTCAAACCACCATTAAAGCAATGGGGATTCATACAACCACCATTTTCTACCTAAGGATTGTCATCATCCAAATTGGGTCCTTGCCATTTTAACGGGGGCAAGGAACCCCAGGGTCTTGGTTGCTACGTGACTCCATTCTGAAAAAGTTGCGCCACAAGTTGCGGGCAGAAGGTTTCATCTGGATTCACAGGTGGCCGCCCAAAAGCGTGGGGAAATCTGGATGCAGGAATAGCCCAATAGCCCCCCCCGTCCTTATTGTGAGGCATGCAAACCAACCCCCCACAGTCTCTAGATAGGCCAAAATGGAAAGATGATTGGATGTGCGGGAGGCTGCGTATTGTTTAACCAAACAACATCTGAGAACAACAAACCATCCACTTTCTTTCTTTGTTTTTTGGCATATCTAGTCTTCCCGTGGTGGCTTTGGGTTGTGGGTTTGGGCGATCCCCTCACAGGCGGGATGCCCGGGCAGCTCCGCAAGTACGCATCTTGGCCATAGGTGTCCAATTTTAGGGCAAAAAAAAAAAACGGTAAACCAGGAATCGAAACCCATCGATTTTTCCACCAAAACCTCACCAAAAAGGACACCTATGTATCTTGGGCTAAATTTGTGCTCGCGTGCCCGACTGCTCGGGCCTGGCGCCCTCCGCATTTTTCGTCTGCAAGGGCTTGCATCGAACTTGAGCGTGCGCATGTCATGTCAACATGCACAACTCCGTTAAAGTGACCTCCTCTTTCCCGCTGGTTCAAAAGGTTTGGATGTTCACTTTAAGGAACCAGCACAAGTTGCCACCCTCGCAACTGCTGTTGGCAGTCTGGGTCCCTGCCGAGACAGAAAAGCCCGGCTGGGCCCACACGGACCGATGATCTACCCCCTACTCCATGCTTAGGCTATGTCATATGTATTGAAAAAAGAAGGAAAACATGTCCGCTAGTGAAAAACGATTCCTTTAAAACCAACTGGAGGATATTCAGACATATTTGTTTTAGCAAATGGAAGCTGAGCTGCCCTCAGGTTACATGGAAACTACCACTAAACACTAAAAAGCTAAGCTAAGGAACCAAAGGGCTGGGCTTGCCACCAAGGAAGTATATGGCTGTGGGTCAAAACCCTGTACCCCCAGTGAACATCCCAATCCCAACTAAAAAATCGACTAACATGAGTCATGCACCTACCAACCAAAATGGTACCATTGGTTTTTACCCATGGCTAATATGGCCATTGGGAAAACTGGAGTTTCTCAACCAAATGGAAAAAACCACCGCCGGGGATTGGGAGCAGAACCCACTGCACACGAAACAAATCGCGCTCAGTCCTCGAACGGAGACTCCTTCGATGGAGCCAGGGCTGTGTCTTTTTCGAGGGGACGCCCCTGCAAATGGTGGTTTCCTTTTGGTTTCCCTTAAAAGCCACAAACAACAAAAAGCTGTGTGAATTATAATATTTCACCAGCCTGAAATATGGTGGTTGGGGGGCTATTCCCCACATAAACCACCGTGTGAGGTCGTTAGCATTCACCCAGAAGACAGGCACCTCCCCTTCCCCACCCCCCCAAAAAAAAAGATGCACCCAAATGAAAACCCAAGGACCACCCCCCCTCCCTCTCCCTCGCCCCAATCTGCGAAACCGATGGGTCACAAAATCGAGGCCGGAAACGTGATCTCGCTGAAAAGTAGCAGATTAGGTCAGAATTGCTTCCCGAGTGGGTTAGCAAAAAAAGCTCAAATGGCTTGTTTAACACTAAATTGGTGTTCCTCAAAGTAAGGTGCAGAAACTGAGGGAGTGAACATATAATAACAAATGAAACGACACCGCAGTACAACATGCGTAGGGGACATAGATAGCAAGATTCCTGGAATGATAGCTGATTGATCTGGAAGAATTGACTTATACACCCGAACATTGCAACTTGCACATGGTGGTGTCCCTTTATTTTGATGGAAAAATCCATTTTTCAAATGGTTGCAAACTGTATCTTTTAAGGAGCCCTGTGGAATCTTGAGTGAAAGGTGGACCAAAGCTGCAAAGCGCAACAGCTCCGGCTGGCTTTGGGCAAGGTGCAGACAAAACTTCCCAAGGCCGTGAGATGACTCGTGAGCCGGCCAATTGCACGCAAAGAACCACCCGGTCCAGGTCGCACATCTTGTGAACCTTCTCGATCTGCCTCTCACCTCGCGCAGTCCACTAGTAGCAAACCGCTCTTTTCTAACCCTCTGGCTATTCTGACTGTTGGCGGTTGTTCCTTTTAATCGACCACTTGGTCGTAAAATAATGGGGCCAGGATGGGCCAGGAATGCGGCGAGTTTAGACTAAAGGAGGGGAAGGGGGCTGGAGGTTTGGGCTGACATCACTGGAGCTGCAAGATCCGACCCTGGTAAGAGCAGGAAGGAAGCTTTTGGAGGTTGGCCGTTTTGTGGTGGGAAGACCACCAACCAAAAAACAAGGAGAAGTGGTCCGCAAAGATGGTCGCGGCTTGACCAAGGTTTTAGGCCGGGGGTTGACCAGGAAACCCTTGCTGATGCTGCCGGATTGATGAACTTAACGAATTAAATGGCCAGCGCTACAAATGAATGGACAAAACTCTCAAGCGCGAGCGCGCTTGGGTGTTCAAGCTGAGTAGGCTAGAACCATAGCTTTAAGGGTTCCAACCTTAGCAAAACCACAAGTATGACCTATAAACAAAGTTGGTTGGGCATGGCAAGAAGAGAACGGCCAAGGCTGCTATATCTAACATGCGACGTGGGCGTGACGAGGGGGATTCTTCCCCGCAACGTCAAATGCGCCAGGCTGCCCATGTGAATAATCAGCTTCCCTCCAGTTGGTGGTGGTTTGGTGGTTCAGGCCAGTTTCCCATGCTCCCTCCACAAGAGCCAGTTCAATTACCCAAACCAACCCCAACCACCAAATTAAGGGATACATGAAATTGACAATTTATAATAAAACAGGGGTAACCTCAAAAACACACACACACACACACACACACACACACACACACACACACACACACACACACACACACACACACACACACACACACACACCCAGCTGGACTAAACAGGTTTTTTGCCTCCAACAAGGGTGATGGCACAAAGGCTAGGGGCAGCTCCGGTGGGTCAGGCCCAACGGAAGTGCTCGTGATTCATTCGATGAACGAGACTTAGACCCGCTGCAAGTTGACAGGACCTCCAGCAAAGAGGTTTGAATAAGGGTACCAACTGTTTGTTTCTTTTTTTAGTAGGGGAACCCTCCCCCAAAAAAGGGTACGGGCACTACAGGGAACCCTACCTGCTCATTTAAGTCCTGAGCCCTTTGGTTGCCCCCAGAAAATCCCACCCCACCCCCCCCCCCCAAGGAGTCCCCAGAAAATCCCAACCCCCCCCCCCCCCCGCGAAAAGCGCTAGGAATTCTTGGAGCCCCCAGAAAATGCCAACCCCCCCCCCCGCCCAACTGGTGAAAACAGCGAAAAGGCGAAAAGCGCTAGGAATTCTTGGAGTCCCCAGAAAATGCCCCACCCCCTCCCCGCAACTGGAGAAAACAGCGAAAAGCGCTAGGAATTCTTGGAGTCCCGAAAATGCCCCACCCCCCCCCCCCGCAACTGGAGAAAACAGCGAAAAGCGCTAGGAATTCTTGGAGTCCCCAGAAAATGCCCCACCCCCCCCCCCCCCGAGAAAACAACGAAAAGCGCTAGGAATTCTTGGAGTCCCCAGAAAATGCCCCCCCCCCCCCCCCCCCCCGCCCAACTGGAAAAAACAGCGAAAAGCGCTAGGAATTCTTGGAGTCCCCAGAAAATGCCAACCCCCCCCCCCGTACGTTGAACACTGCCGGACAGTATAACTGTTAAACATGCGACGCAGATAGATAAACAGATGGACAGATAGATAAATAGAGATATAGATCGATAGAGAGAGATAGGTAAGTAGAAAGCTAGATATGTAGATAGAGAGATAGGCAGGTAGGCAGGTAGGTAGGTAGATAGACAGATAGAGAGACAGAGAGGGAGAGAGAGAGAGAGAGAGAGAGATAGATAGAGAGAGAGAGAGATAGTTAGGTAGGTAGGTAGGTAAGTAGAAAGAAAGATAGATAGATAGATAGATAGATAGAGAGAGAGAGAGATACCGATATATAGATGGATGGAGTGATAGATAGATTGAGAGAGAGAGAGGGAGCTAGAAATATAGGTAGATATATAGTTAGATAGGTAGGTAGATAGATAGACAGATAGGTAGATAGTTAGAGAGATAGATCGAAACAATAAGAAAGAAATAACAGAAAGAACGGATGAAAGAACTAAATAAAGAAGAAGGAAGCAGGAAAGAAAGAAAGAAAGAAAGAAAGAAAGAAAGAAAGAAAGAAATAAAGAAAGAAAGACAGACAGAAAGAAAAAAAGAAAGAAAGGAAGGAAGGAAGGAAGAAAGAAAGAAAGAACATCAAATAACAAAGAAAGCAATAACGATGGACAGAAAAGAAACAATGAAAATAAAAAAGGAAAGAAAGAAGAGAAACATCGAGAAAAGAAACAGAAGGACAACTATAGTTTATATATTTTGGAAACTTCCGCCCCCCGGCTGCGCCACGCCCGCCGCGCCCGCCACGCCCGCCGCGCCCGGGCCCGCGCCCGCCGCGCCCGCCCGCGCCCGCCGTGCCCGCCGTGCGTGCCCGCCCGCGCCCTGCCGCGCCCGCTGCCCCGCGCCCCCGGGAACCCGCCCGCCCCGCCCGCCGCGCTCGCCGCGCTCCCCTGCGCCCTGCGGCGCCGCGCCCATCGCCCCGCCGAGCGCCCCCGCGGCCACGCATCGCCCGCCGCACCGCCAGCCGCGCCCGCCGCGCGCTCCGCCGCCCGCCCCCGCCGCGCCGCCGCGCCCCGCCGGCTCGCCGCGCTCGCGCGCCGCCGCCGCCCGCCGCGCCCGCCGCCCGCCGCGCCCCGCCGCGCCCGCCGCGCTCCAACCGCGCGCCCGCCGCGCGCTCGCCGCGCCCGCCGCCCGCCGCGCTGCGGGCCCGCCGCGCTCGCCGCCAACGCCCGCGCCGCGCAACATCCGCGCCCGCGCCCGCGTCCGCCGCCACCGCGCCCGCGCCCGCGCCGCCCCGCGCGCTCGCCGCACGCCGCGCTCCGCCGCCCCCCGCCCCGCCGCCCCGCCGCGCGCCCCAGCCGCGCCGCGCCGCCGCGCTCGCCACGCTCCGCGCCCGCCCCAAGCCGCCCCGCCGCGCCCCGCCGCGCCCGCCGCCCCGCCGCGCCTGCGCACGCCCGCCCCGCCGCGCCTTCCCGCCGCCCACCGCGCTCTTACCAACGCCCGCCGCGGCCCGGGCCCGCGCCGCGCCTGCCGCGCTCTTGCACCACCGCCGCGCCCAGCCGGCGCCGCGCCCGCGCCAGCCGCGTCGCCGCGCCCCGCCGCGCTCCCCGCGCCCCGCCGCGCCCGCCGTGCCCCTGGCCGCGCTCCAGCGCGCTCGCCGCGCTCGCCGCGCCCACACTAGCCGCGCGTGCCCGCGCCCTGCTGCCCGCGCCGCGCGCGCAAGCCCCCAACTGCCGCGCCCGCGCCCGCGCCTGCTCCCTCACCGCCCGCGCCACCCAGCCGCGCCAGCTGCGCCGGTCCCTCATCCGCCGCGCTCCACACCGCCCGCCGCGCCCGCCGCCCCCCGCGCCCGCCACACGCCCAGCCGCCCCCGCGCCCGCCGCGCCCGCCGCCGTCCCGCCCGCCCGCCCGCCGAACCCCGCCGCGCCCACCGCCCCGCCGCGCCCGCCGCGCCCAACCCGCGCCAGCACCCAAAATCCGCCGCACTACCCACCGCGCCCGCGCCCGCGCCGCCGGGCCCGCCGCGCTCGCCGGCCTCGCCGCGCCCGCCCGCGCCCGCCGCGCCCGGCCGCACCATCCCGCCGCGCCCAAGCCCGCGCGCCGCGCCCACAAGCCCCAGTCCGGCGCCCGCCGCGCCCCACCGCGCCCAGCAAGGAACACTGCCGCACCCCCCGGCCGCGCCTGCACCCGCCCCGCCGCGCACAACACAAAAAGCCTGCAGATTCGCTCCCCGCCCCGCGTCCGCCGCACCCACCCCCGCGCCCGCGCCAGCCCCCCCGCAACCGCTTGCGCCCCGCTCGCGTGCAGGACACGCGCACGCGCCTGCGCCTGCCTGCGGTGCCGCGCTTGATCCGCCGCGCGAGCCGGCCCGTCCCAGAAAGCCCCCCCTGGAAAAACGCCGCGCCCCAGAAAAATGCCCCGCCGCGCCCGCAGGGCCCGCCGTAGTCGCGGCTTCGCTCTTTACACGGAACCGCGACCCAGGGGAAATGGTAATACCAAAAAAAAAAAATATGTAAAAATAACCCGAAAAGCGCTAGAACCCCCCCCCCCCCCCAGGCAACTGGAACAGCTCGGGGCAAGCCCATAAGGAGGGGGAGTCCAGAAAAGGTGGGAGGGAGGCGTGGGAAGCGAGATGTCCCCACCCCCCCCCCCCCCCCGCAATGAAGCCAACTGAGCCCCAACCCCATAACTGTCTTAGAAAACAGCGAAAAGCGCTAGGAATTCTTGGGGGGAGCGGGGGGAAGGAGCCCCCAGAAATGGCCCCAACTCCCCCCACCCCCCCGCAACTGAAAAACAGCGAAAAGCGTCTTTGGAGTCCCAAAAAATGCCCCACCACCACCCCCCGCAACTGGAGAATAACAGCGAAAGCGCTAGAATCTTGGAGTCCCCAGAAAAAAATGCCCCCCCCCCACCCCCCCCCTCGCCCCCCTTGGAGTCCGCCAGAAAATTCCCCCACCCCCCCCCCCGGCAACTGGAGAAAACAGCGGAAAAGCGCTAGGAAATACATGGAGTCTCCAGAAATGCCCCACCCCCCCCCCCCCCTGCCCGCAACTGAGAAAACAAGCGAAAAGCGCTAGGAATTCTTGTAGTCCCCAGAAAATGCCCCCCCCCCGCAACTGGAGAAAACAGCGAAAAGCGCTAGGAATTGGTGTCCCCCAAGACACATCCCCAGAATTCTGGAATGCCTCCAACCCCCAAACAGCAATGGCTCGGGGTTCCCCACCAACCATCCCCAAAACGCACCCCCCCCCCCCCCCCACCCCCCAGCAACTGGACCCACAGCGAAAAGCGCTAAGAAAATGCCCCACCCCCCCCCCCCCGCAACTGGAGAAAACACCGAAAAGCGCTAGGAATTCTTGTCCCCAGAAAATGCCACACCCCCCCGCAACTGGAGAAAACAGCGAAAAGCGCTAGGAATTCTTGTCCCCAGAAAATGCCCCGCCCCCCC